TGTGTGTGTGTGTGTGTGTGTGTGTGTGTGTGTGTGTGTGTGTGTGTCTGACGTGTCCCATCCTTACTGCTTTTGTGGTCCATGGTTTAATTCTGTGTTTTCTTCAGCTGTGTGTTTTCTCAGGCTTCTTTTGTACGCAGTCCTCAGTTGACAGATGGAGCAGGTGGTTTTTTTTCTCCTACTGAATTACTTACTGTCACCCTCTAGTAACTGTAATACAGTTCTTTAGGTGATCTGCAGAAAATCTGCCTTAACCTTTGACACTGTTACAGCATAACTACTGGTAGGCATCCAGGGCCACAATTGCCTCTGTTAAAAAAAAACATTAATAGAATTATTTGGCAAAAAACTCAAAGATTGCTCTGCGAACAGAGCCAAGTCTTTAAGTCTTATTTCAAGTGGCAATCCTCTGGGGAGAAAATGCTCTCCTCCCCCCCACCAAACAAACAAAAAAAAAAGAACAACCCTTCTGTGTTTTCCATTCAGCGTTCCTTTTTCTTGTATGTGTTTTGTATTTTTAGCCAATAAAAGATTCCTTTTAAAATGGTGTTTTGGAGAAGAAACATAAACTCTTTGGGAGACAGAAGACTTTAAAAATTGCTGTCAAACTGGTTCCCTTCATTTGGTTGTAGCAAATCAATCAAACACCATTGCACATCAAAAATACCTATTCTGGTGAAATCCTCCCTCATCAGGTAAGCTTGCTGCAATCAGTCAGACTGAGCAGACAGGTGCAAGGCCTGTTTAATTCTTATCCCATCCGCTTCAGTCACTTAAACGCAGAAATTATGACTTTAAAAACGTCCTCAGCTCTCATAAGACTTCAGCGATCTGAGGCACCCCGAGCAGCAATGCAGTTAAAGCAACCCAACAGCAGCACTGAGAACGCTGACTGGGCTGAGTGGAGGAGCAGGAGGGAGGGCAGAAGGCTTCTCATTCTTCATGGCTTTTCCCTGAGCACTTGCTCATCTCTTCTGCTCGTTCCTCATTCATGACAAAGCTGCAGCCAACACTTACTGACTGGCTGTACAACTCTGCAACCTCTTGCTGGGATCACGTGCCTGCCTATTGAGCCATATGCATCTCTGGATGAAAAACAAGTGGGCTCGGACCACTGCTCATTTGGCTATAACACAGCTCGTCTGTTTGGCCACACATTTTTAATCTTGACTCTTGCATGCAGTTTATAGCACCTTGTTCATAAGAAATTGCAGTTTATTCTTAGAAATATATATTTTAAGTTTTTTAATCTTTATACCCGTAAATGGAATATTTTTTTGTCTTGGCTGGTTTAAAAAGTGACCATTTTGTTTAAATGCTGTAATTGCAAATGTGTTGTAAACATTGTTTTGTTCTATAGTTTACACAAAGGTGCCAAAGTAAATAGTTAATAAAAAGGAAAAAAAAAAAACCCTAGCAAATTAAGTTGCTTTAGCTGTGCTTCATATTTTGGTCTCTGCTCTTTTCTTATCAGTCAGCTGGTTGATTTTTTTCCTAAGCATATCATTTGCCCTAATGCTTTCTTCTTTTTTTTTAAACAGTGCATCTAAATACATGTCCAAATACCACTTTGTTGGGTTGTTTTTAGTGATTTCATACAGTAGGAAGAATATTTTCTTTGGAAAGTTACACTAAAATTGTAAGAGTACAGCAGCATTCAAAAATGTAATATACTTTTTGTATAACAATTCTTCAGAGTACGTCTGGAGTGGGAAGAAGAAAACAACTAACCCTGTTATTCTCAGCAGCCTCTTCACTCGGCTACAGGAATATAGAATTGTGCTTTTTCACTGCATCAAAAAGTGAGAGTTTATGCAGACTTGCAAACAGGGCATGTGTCACCATTGCATCCGTTGATGCAAAAAGCAGCAAAACCTTTTTAATGTTTCATAACAAGTCTGATATGGGTACAGAGAGTCTTTCTTAAAGTTGGTAAATAATGTAAATACATGTCCTTTCAGAGAGTGAGTCTGTTATCTAGGTATTTTGTGTCATTTAATAAATATTAAACAGTTTTGTGTTGATAAACTCTGGTGTAAAATGCCTTTTTCCTCAAACCGCTGTATGTTGGGCTTCTCATGTTTGTGGCTTCTTTAAAATCCTCAGCTTCTGCTCCGCCAGCACAATACCTGTTTGCTACCTGAGTCCCAGTAGTTCCTTTTGCATTCGGTCATTAAAATCCCTTCGGTTTTCTAAGCAGCTTCCATTCCTGAATTATTTCTATTCTTTGCTTCCAGAGAAAGGGTTTGAAAGCACAGGGAACTGCAGGAGAGGAAGCGGCGATTCCTCCTGCCAGCTGTGCCGAAGGCGCTGCGCTGCGGCAGAGCGCTCAGCCTGGGGTTGGACTCTGTGATCTTTCAGGTCTTTTCCAACCTGAGCCATTCTGTGATTCTATGCAGGGAGATCCTGAAAGGTTCCTCGGGCGGGCAGTGCTTCATGGGCACAGCAGGCGGCTTCAGCTGGTGCTGCTCAGGTGTTCTGCTCTGCTGCAGCCTGGAGGCAGGCGCGTGGGATACTTTCCACTAACAGTTCCTGCTTCAAGAGAATGTTTCTGACTTTCAGTGTTTTCCATGACCCTGCAGAATTTTGTTTTTTTTTTTTTTTTTTTTAATCCTACTAAGTGAATAGTTGGAGTAAATACTCCTGATTTCTGTTACTGTAAGGTGTATTGCGTTTCATAAAGTAATCTCTTGATTTCAAGGGAAACTGGTGCCAATCAAGTAATCGATTTAAGATCTTCTGTTTTTTTCTTTTTCTTTTTTTCTGCTCTGGATGTAAGGGAGATGAATTCCGTGCAGTGGGCAATAATGCAAACATGGAAAGAACTGGGGAAAGGAGCAATAGGTCTACCTGCAGGGGAGCAGTTATTTTTTCTGTTTAAGTAACTGATGCCTGATAGAAGATTGGCTTTCAAGTATCTACTGGAACTTGTCCTGCTGCTGCTTGTATCCCACAGGCATTAAGATACAAAAGCAGAAACTTTTAAAGCTGTCTTTCTACAGTCAAGTAGTGAATGGCAGTGCCATAACTAAAGCCCTCTTACACTTAGAGAAAGTAGCTGGCATGCAGCAGATGTGCTTTTAGTGATGAGAGCTCTTCAGCTTAACTCCTTAAATCGGGGCTGTTTGTCAGCTTGAAGCTCCTCTGTTTTAGAGCTGGAGGAAAAGAGAAATGCCATGAAGTATTTCAGTGTAAAAATGGTTAAGTAATCTTTTACCATGAAAAGCTGTCCTTTCAAAACCACGAGTCTAGCAGTTCTGCTTCATCAGACAACGCAGCCCATGTGGAGCAGGGCCAGGCCTGCCTGTAGGCTGCAGCCAGCCTGTTCCGGGAGCATGGCCTTGTGCTGCACTGCCTCTTCTTCCTTGCTTCTTATTCCTGAGGTCCCAGCTCCAATAGCACATGGCAGACCAACCCAAACAGGATAGCTGCTGTAGCCTACACAAGTTCTGCTCAGGACAAGGCAGGGAGAGGCACTGGCTCAGGGCTGGATGCGGCATGTGACTGGGGGCTGCCTGCAGAGGGGTCATGCTGGTGTGCTGGGGAGCGCTGCAGCCCTGCAGTAGAACATCCTAATAAGACAATGGCTATATCATGCAATTTCCCTTCCACCCCTGTGCTTTTAGATGCAGCTTTCTGCTCGAGCATGAAGCTTCCTGCCAAAGTTTCTCCAAACAAGTTACTGTCAGTACGCTTTCATAAGAGCAGAAGCAGGAGGTGCCTGGTATACGGAGCTGAGCTCCTTCACAAAGCAATTGCTGCTCCAAAGCTGACATTTATCCCCAAGAAGTCAGCCTGTATGTAGCTAAAAATACAAATTTCTGATTACTGATATTTTTCTGCCATGCTGCTACAAGCCTACAGAATGCACTGAGTTGTCAGCCTACCCACTGAAAAACAGCTGTCCTTCTTTCCCTGTGGAACAATCTAACTCAGGCAATTTGGCATAACTCACAGAACGCACAAGTCTCATCTGCTGCTGCTTGTTAGCCCAGCTGCCTGACTGTCCATCTCTGCAACACACATCGTGTCCCACGGCAGCTGGGCTGCTCCTGAACATCACCAGATACCCCAAACCATCATCTGCATCGCTCACAACTCACAGGGCTGCTGGCAGTGGGATGACCGGGGACCTGCTGATCCATGCTGCTTGTTTACAGCAGTCTGCTTACAGGCAGAATATCCCAGCCAGCAAATAGTTAAAATGGCATCGTGAGCATGCTTGTATAACACGCCCGTGGCCCAGCACCGCCTCCCTACCTTTGCTTCTGCCTGCAGGCTGGGAACGTGTTTTTCCAGCTGTGTCACAGTGTGAGATCTCAATGGGCTCCTGCAGGAAATTCTGCAGCCGCCTGCTGCAGCCTGGGCTCTGATCCCTTCACCTCAGCACAAAGGTTTCTTTTTTTGGCATTCCACGTGATTGCCCCAGTCTTGACTCAGCAGTTTGTTGGCCCAGCAGCGTTTAATGGTTTGGTTTCCCATCACCACCTCCTCCAGAAATGCAGCAACTCAGAAACGCCGCCATCTGCTCCGAGTGAGAGTGAAGTGCAGCTTTCATGCAGTGTAGATAGAAAGTGATTGTGGTAAGGCTGCGGCCATCATGCCCCCAGTAACAGCTCCAGCTGAAGCACTCTGCTGCCAGGCTGTGCTGGGCAACGCCGTTCTTCATGCAGGTGCCCAGATCTCAGCACATCCCCGTGCTGCTGCACAGCTCCAAAAGTGGAGCTGCAGGAAGAGAACCTCAGTGAACTCCTAAAAACAACTGGAATAAAGCAGTGACTTCTGCACGCCCTTGGTATTCTTTTTTCTTCATATACTGTGCTCCTCCACCCTGCAGATCAGAATCATTGGGATTCCCAGTGCTTCATTAAGCACCAAACACTTTGCTTCTGACATCCATTGCCTTTTGCAGGTCTTTGGATTAAGTAAAGTCTGATTACAGACATCTCATCCAACTAGCTGAAGGATTCACACAGGATTAAGCATATGCTGGTTATCTAGCATGTATGATGAATGAAGGCCATAGAAAAGCCAATCTATCTGAAGTTAGGCATGAATTTATGAACCAAATCCTAAATAAGAACTCAGAACGTGCTGCAGACCTGTGTTCTGTACGTGACAGCACCTTGTTGAAATCAGTGACATCAAACATGCAGTAAAATGTAATGCTGCACATAAACATCCCAGTCCTCGTGTTCAAATCCAGTGGAAAATGGAAAGAGTGTCTCAGGAGAACAGGATCAGCTTGACAGCCGCCAGCAGATCCCAAAATCATGCCAAACGCAAAATAGTTTCTTTCTCTAAGCAAAAGGAAAGGCATTTTTTCTGCACCACAGTCACAACCATTCGGGCCTCTATTGTTAGAGGACAACAGCTGACCACAGGAGATGGATCTTACACCACTGACATCCTGCTAGCACACACATGCTGCTACCTTTAACACCGCACAAATAACTTACTCATGATAAACAAGACACAGTGGGCATTTGTCAGAGGCTGGAAGCTGCCGGTACTGAACGTACTGGCTTTCCACAGAACTTACTAGGAACCAAACAAAGCTTCTGTCAGTCGGCTGGGCCAGAGGAGAGCATCGCTGTGCACGGGCACACTGCTGCTCAGAACCACAGGCAGCCTTCGTGGAGAGCCACCACGCTCAGAAGGATGAAGCATGCAGGTTTTGCTGGGAAAACTCCAAGGCTTCAGCTTTCTGCTAGCTACTCTTGCAGCCAACGTGGTGCTGACCTCACTGCAGGCAGGACTGGGCCCAGCAACCCCTGAATAGAAACTGCGTGAGCCACCTTACCGTAAAATGATGTAACAGCACAAAATAAGCAAGCAGTTATATGGCAGGGATGGAAATACAGGGAAGGCAAAGCAATCAGGTGCAAACCAACCGAGGATAATATTAATAAAGATATTTCTGGCAGGAAGATTTTTCCCACCATTTTTCCTTGTACTAAACTGTAAGCTGTCCTATTATTTTAATCCTAAACCAGATGCTAATTTCATTCTGTGCTATTGAACAGGACCTGATTTGCTTGTTATGATATCTGCCATTTGGTTTCATTTCACACTCCACTAAGTCAGCATAATGTGGGCAAGGTAGTCAGGCTGCCACTTCCTTCTGTGGAAGTTCTCATCATTTCACAGTCCATTTCCTATGCATGAGAGAGAGATCAAAACGGGCAGGATTCTTCACTCAGAACAAGGGGATGTTTGAATATATCAATGATTATAAGTGAAGCTACATGTCCTGAAGTAAATGCTCCGGTTAGTGCAAAATGTGATATTCCAGAACACAAAGTGCCTACAACATACCAAGCATTTTCATCTCTTCCTGGTAATTAAAGCCCACTTCAGTGCCTCTACCCAAATATTGAAATCCTCTTGATGTAATTGCTCTTAACTCCCTCAGAGATCACTCTTTATGAAGAGGACCTTGCAGCAAAGCAATGAAGAACCATGAGGGAATGTAAAGGTAACAGAGGCAGGTCTCTGCCAGCCTCTGAGATGCCTTGTTCTTCTCAACGGGGAGGAGAAAGACAGGAGTACTGCTACTTTCAGGTGGTGGTTCCAGCCCTGCTGCTGTTACCCCATGCTCCTCAGCAGCCTGCAGCACATGCTGGCCTGGGTGTTAAATATGATTATTTTACCACCCTGTTTTGGGGATGGATAGTGACAGGACAAGGGGGAATGGTTTTCAACTGACACAGGGGAGGTTTAGCTTAGATCTGAGGAGGAAGTTTGTCACACAGAGGGAGGTGAGGCACTGGAACAGGCTGCCCAAGCAGGCTGTGGATGCCCCATCCCTGGAGGCATTCAAGGCCAGGCTGGACGTGGCTCTGGGCAGCCTGGTCTGCTGGTTGGCGACCCTGCACACAGCAGGGGGTTGAAAGCAGATGATCACTGTGGGCCTTTCCAACGCAGGCCATTCTATGATTCTATGATTTTGTCAGGAAGCTTCTCAGTAAATTAAGCCCAAAATCAGAAAACAATAATAGTAATAAAGGTTAGTCCTGCATATTTTGAAATGATTTAACTTCTAATCTTATTACATGCAGTGATATCCAGGCAGACGTGCTCAGCAGGGGCAGTGATGAGGGGTGCTGCTCAGTCACGCTGGGCAGGGATGGCTGCAGCGGGACGGGCAACGGCAGTGACTTCTGTTGTGACTTCAAACCCTTCTATTTATTTATTTATTGTGGATACAATAAATCGAGTGACTTCATTCCTTATTGTTGTTATTCCGCACTGGGCATCTTGGAGCCTCACCTGCCCTTAAGTGTTCCTGTGCTGCACATATCCCCTCAGCCTCGATCTTCGGAGGGACTCACACCACAAACTCCTTCCTTCTCGCGTGGGAAAGGCGACACACATCCCTCATGGTCGCTACGGACGGAGAAAACAGGGCGGCCTCTCCTCCGGCCCCGCCCGCCGGGGAAAACCCGCCCGCCCGCGGCACCGCGAGGGGCGCCCGATCCGCGAGCCGTAGGATCGAGCTCCGCCGCTGCGATCGGCGGAGCCGCCCCTCCCCTCACATGACCGACGTCGACGCTCTTGCCGCGCCCGCCTGCCCCTCGGAAGAGCCCCTCGGCCGGCAGCATGGCACCGCCGCGCCGCACCGCCGGCCTCGCGCTGCTGCTGTTCCTCGGCGCCTGCGGTGAGCGGGGCGGGCGGCGTCGCGGAATCGCGGCGTTGAGGCGTTGCGGGGTGGGCGCGCGCGGGCGGCGCGTGCCGCTGTCCCTGGGGCACGTGACGCGGCCGCGGGCGGCTGCCGAACTGCGGGCCGGCCGGGGATGGGCCCGGCGTGCGGGGCGGCCGGGGGGGAGCGCGGCCGGGGCGGCACGGCACGCGGGGGAGCGGGGCGGGAGGAGCGGCGCGGCGGAACCGGACCGTGCCGGGCGGTGCCTCCCCGAGTCGGAGCGGGGCGGGGAGCCCGCTGCCCGCGACCTCCAGAAGGGAAACGGCAGGTTGTGGGGCAAAAAAAAAGAAAAAAAAAAAGGAAAATAAGGAAGCTTTAATCGGGAGGCGGGCAGCTCTGTGTGTGACGCGGGGAGGGAGGGCATCACCCAGAGGGGTTGCGGCGCCGCCCGCCCCGCCGTGCGCTCGGCGGTTCTTCATCCGCTCCATCCCAGCGCCTGCCGCCGAACCGCCGACTCGGGCAACTTCCCCCGGCCTTCCGCCTCTGTGAAAGCGGCGATGGCAGGGCGAGACAAAAGCAAAACCAGCCCTTTATGTCCTGCCCGCGCGTCCCCAAGAAGCGTATCGCCGAGCGGGCGTTGCGAAAAGCCGGGCTGCTTTGTGCCAATAACCTGCCGTGTGACCGCCGGCTTCCCTGCCGCTGGCGCTGTTACGCAAGCGCTGGGCTGGGCGCTGCTCCGTGCGGCGGGGCTTCGGGCCTCTGCTTTTCCATCTCCGTGCGATAAATGTGGCGGTTCAACAAGCCGTTGCCGCGCTGTGCTCCGTGCCGGCTGCGCTCAGTCTTTGTCACCTTCGCCTGCGTGTGTTTTGGGTTATTTAGAGTAGACCAAGTGCTGCCCAGTGTGGGGAACGTGTGTTTTCTTAAGTCATTTCCTACTGGGGACAAAACGCACCGATATCTGCTTTTACAGTTGTGGTTACTTGCTGTCAGTGTAGCTAAGTAGGTCAGGGTGTGCCTGGTCTGCCCTATGAACCTGCTTGGTGTGGCATTTCTCTTTGCTGTTGTGTCTAATAGCACCTATATTGAAATATCCCCTTTGGAGAAGTTATTTTCAAGCTGTTTTCTCTGTAAAGAGAACAGTCTGTGTACTATTTAACCCACTGCTTCTGATTCCGCATCGTTCTGAGGGTGCTTTCAGTCCCAGTCAGTAAGATATCTCCCTTCTGTGCCCCACTAACTCCCAGCAAATACGGAATTTCACACCCCTTTACCCTTTTTCCTCAGGAAGGTGGAAGAGCCTCGCTTATGTAAAACAGCACTGAAAAGTTAAACAAATAAAAATCACAGCATTACAAAGCAAATTACTGAGGCATTAATATCAAAATCCTCTTTGGTTTATGCTCCTTTTGTGCCTCAGTGGAGTCACTCGGCGTGCCAGGCGACGTGACCTGCAGGTGTGTTTGTATGCAGGCACCACGGCTGGCCTGGCTGGGTTGCAGTGGTTGCTCAAAACTTTAGATTTCTCACGTTCTTTCTGAACTGAGAAGGGCTGGTACATAGGTGCAGTGTTAAATCCCTCCTTGAGTCAGAAGGGAAAGAGTTTTTAGCGTTGCTGGAACTCCAAACTGACTCTTGGCAGCGAGTTCCGGTGCTGTGTGGTGGCAGATTGCAGAGCTGTTATCTCTTGGTTGCACCATAGATCTGCGTGCAAACAGTAACCCTTCAGAGAGCCACGCTGCACCGTTGCTTTAACAATGTGCAGGTGCCTTGCCTGGGCATGAGATGTGCTGCTTGCATCTGTTACCCTGCTTACTGAGGATCAGGAACAAAAGTACAGATGTTACCGCCAGACTCAGAGCTTATTAAATAAGTCATTCCCTGAGCTGCTGGGGACAGGGTGCAGGTTTATGAGCCTCATGTAAACAGAGTATGGCCCGGGTTACTGAATGTGATGCTTAAGTGACATTATTAGGTATTATGCTTGGTCAGGTGGGGTGATGTATTTGCTAGCATTGTTGAAGCTAGAGCTCCTTGAGGTTTACTGCTTCAAGTTTAGAATAAAACACGTGAAAACCCTCATTGACTGCCTTGTCCGTAGTCTGAAGTGTTCTTACCACACAATAGTTACATTAGGATTTGTTCTAGCACTGATAAATTAATGTGTGGTATTGAGTACAATTGCTTCATAGTCAACGCAGTCAAGTTTCTCCCGGCTCTGCCTTGGATGCTTCTTACAGCAGGTGCTCCAAACAGCGTAAACGATGCAGGCTGCACTTGAATGCTGGTACAGCCAACTGTCTTGTGTGCTGAGCTTTGTGTTGCTGGTAGAAGGGAACTGTATTGGGTAGGGAAGAAGTCCTTAATGTCAAGGTAAAGTGTGATGCAGAGTGTGAATTCTGTGTGTTGAGGGGTGGAAGGCTTGAATGGCTATTGAAGAGAACTGTGCAATCACAGTTCCCATCACTTTAAGGAAATGAGCCTGACAAACATCAACCTTATGTTAGTCAGGAATGATTCTTCTCGTATTTCAGTCCTGTCTGTTTTAGAGAACTGCAGCAAACTGGGAATGCTGAGCAAAACCAAATGAGAACCAGCTTTGGGGAAGTCTCTGTGCTGGGAGTCAGGCTGGGTTAAAAATCCAACTGTGACAAGTTCTCTAAAGCCTTGCATGAAATTTAACACCCATGTCCTTTGAGCCAGGGATTGTAGAAACGCAGTGAAAGCGCACTGATCTTTCTTAGAGGTCAGCTGGAGTCGTGCCGTTGATGGAACAACATGGAGACTCTGGTCGACAAGCACGACATTGTTCTGAATGCCGTGTTCATGCAGTTTGGTTTACTCAGTTTCAGTCAGCAGAAAGCTAATGCTCATTTAATTTGTTGGCCTTGGTCAGGCAAGAAGGCTATAAATGATCCTCTCAGTATTTAGCACTGATAACTTCATGTTAACCTCCTAGTTTTAACATTTGTTAGGTATCTGGCTATCAGTTTGGTGTCTGACAAATAGAATCCAGTCTGAAATAATGTACTACTTTGTAATGAGTGTAAAGTCTTTGTCTTAATAGCTAATAATTGTATCTTACAGGCTTTTTCCAGTCCTATGCGGTGGAAGTAGATGTAAAGGATGCCTCTAATGTTACATGCTTGTACGCACAATGGATGATGAAATTCTTGATAAAATATGAGACAAACAGTAGTGATTATGTAAGTATTTGGAGCTAACTTTTGCTGAGAACTGCGTTTAGTCTGGGATAAAGCAATTTGATACATTTTGTATTTAGTTTATTGGTTTTCTTGATAGAGGCAATTATTAAGAGTGTTCCTAACATCAGTTTTAAGGCAAAGCATAAGTTCTCAGTTAATAATACGAGTATCCTACTGCACCTAAAAGGCATGCTGTTCTAAGGTGGTGGGTTTTATTTATCAATGTAGCAGCATTCTGAGGCTAAATGGTGAATGTTAGTTGTGCTTTGGTGTAGTGGAGTTTATCAGCCAAGTTAAACATGTAATTTTGTTCTCAGACCTGATGTGGCTCCCTTGTGAGCCCGGTGTCAGGCAGGTTATTCTACAGAATGGTGGAAAAGGCTAAAATAATCTTACTGGTCTTGTGCAAGGTTCCATCTAACTCTAGCAGGTTTCTAAGGCTGCCATGGGGAAGAATGGTAATCTGAAAATAGTGCAAACTTCTTTCTTTTAGAAAAATGCAAGCTTGGATTTGACATCCGCTGTGACACACAATGGAAGCACCTGTGGCAGTGACACAGAAGCTGCGCTCCTGGCAGTGCAGTTTGGAGATGGTCACTCTTGGAGTGTTAACTTCACAAAAAGCAACGAAACTTACTGGGCTGAGTTCATCACATTTACCTACAACACCAATGATACTGCTGTCTTTCCTGATGCCAGAAGACAAGGTAGCGTTATCTCTTGTCCCTCACCTCGCTCGGCTTTTCCGAAGTTTGAAGTACTGAGAGTGTATCTGATGACTTCAGTGCAGAATGCTGCTCCTAGACCTGTGTACTGGAGAAGAGTGCAGACTAGTTAGGTTAACTAGTGCCTTAAGTTAGCTTGACTAGTGCCCTTAGGTGGAACAGAAAGGGGAGGTTAACCATTTGAACAGGTTAATGGGGGGGTGCTGCTAGCACATAAGAGGCAAATATAAGACTGATTTCTGTTTGTTCACCTTCTGTGAAGGAAAACAAAAAGTGTTAGGGTTTCTGTGTATGCTTAGTTCTATCAATGTGGGTTTTTTCTTGAACAAAGACTTAGTGTTCTCCTTTCTGAAGACTTCTCTGTGTCACGTCAGGTCAGAACACATGGGTTAAACATTGAAGAGAGGCTAGGACCGTTAGACTTAATTCCTGTTATTTCTTTGTCTTCTGAATTACAGAAAACGTAACACTACCTGTAAATGTTCCTGTGGTAAACGAGACATTAAAATATTTGTTTTTATTTGTAGGACCAGTTACAATTGCTGTAAAGGATGCTATGCATCCAATTCAACTGAATAATGTCTTTGTGTGTCATCATACTACCTCTTTTGAAGCAGAAAACGTAACACAGATTTTCTGGAATGTTACTATGCAGCCTTTTGTTCAGAATGGCACAATTGGTAAAAAAGGTGAGCGTTTCCAATTGTAAATGGGCTTTTTTTTATGGTGTCCTAGTGCAGGGGTGGAATCCAGTAATTAAAAAAAAATCCAACAGTTCTAAAATGTGCCATGTCAAACAATACATATATGTGTGTGTGTATGTAGCATCTTCAACCATGTCTTTTCTTGTTCCTGGAGAAAAAAAAAAAGAAAAAAAAAAAAGATATCAATAGAGCACATCCAGTTGTGCAGTAAATTTCCCAGCAGTATTCTAATAAAGAGTGCACTTGAGGTTCTTAGGCATCCCAGACACTCCAGAAGTGTTGCTGCAAACTAGATCATTTGAGCATGGAGGTTTTTCAACTGCCTTCTGTTTCCAGTGGAAAACTCACTGCTCTTTCATTTAAATAATACAAAGCCTGTGATAGCTTGTCTCATAGTTCTGCTAGGCAGAGGAGACCAGCACAGCATCCTGCTACATACAGGACATTGTTTACTTAAATTGCAAAAGCAGTTTTGTAAGCATTAACGTTTACTTTTGTGGATGTGTTTTGCTTTAGTGTATTAGAGAAGTAGCATTGCTTGTGGTACGTGGGTTTAAAACGGTGAGTAACGTAGAATTTCTCAGAATAAATTGCAGCTGTTAATTGCTTGGAGCACTGTGCCACAGTGCTGAGCTGGAGACTCTGCACTTGGTGATGAGCAGATGCCCGTTGAGCTTAGATTTCAACTTAGAAATGGGTGTCTGTATTAAACTGACTTCTCAGCCATAAGCCTTAATAAAAACTTCATCACTGAAATGGTGGTTAAACCTTCTTTTCAGAGTCTAGGTGTCGTGCTGATACACCTACTGCTGCGCCTACTGTTCTGCCTACTGCTGCCAATGTAACTACTGCATCTACCACCATTTCACCTGCTCCAACCTCCGCTCCCAAACCTGCTGGGAATCCAGTCACAGGAAACTATTCTCTTAAAACTGGAAATAAAACTTGTCTTCTGGCTACTGTGGGGCTGCAGCTGAATGTTTCCCAAGACAAGGTGCCTCTCTTATGCTTTTCAAATTTTGGAATAGAATCATAGAATGGTTTGGGTTGAAAAGTACCTTAAAGCTCATCCAGTTCCAACTCTCCCCTGCCATGGACAGGGACAGCTCCACCAGATCTGGCTGCCCAGGGCCCCAGCCAGACTGGCCTTGAATGCCTTCAGGGATGGTGCATTCAGTTTCTCTGGGCAACCTGTCTCTGTGCCTCACCACCTTCATAGTAAAGAATTTCTTTGTATATAATCTGAATGAAGTACTCTCTTTTAGTTTAAACCAGCTACCGTTTGTCTTATTGCTACGCAACTTGGTCAGAAGTCTTTTCCCATCTTTCTTGTGGGCTTCCTTTAAGTATTGGAAGGCTGCAGTAAGGTTTCAGTCCTTCTTTAGGCTAAACAACCCCAGATAGCTGAGCCCGTCTCAGTATCTCCAGTCCTGTGATTGTTTTCATAGCCCTCCGGATTCAATCCAACAGGTCGTGTCCTCATTGTGCTGGAGGACCCCGAGGTGCAGTGCAGTACTCCAGGTAGAGTCTCACAAGAGTACTGCAGGGGGAAAGAATCACCTCCCTTGCCCTGCTGGCTGCACTTTTGATGCAACACAGGATATACTTGGCCTTCTGGGCTGCAGTTGTGCATTACTGGCTCATTTAAAATTTGTCTGTACTGGTGTTTTAGATTGCCCTGACGTAGGTGCAGCGCCTGTCTCTTGGCCGTGTTAAGAAGAGTAGAAAGGTTGCTGTGGTTGTTTTTGTGTGTGTGAAATGTGAGTGCAGAGTGTTTGCTTGGGCACTGCTGGCTGTCCAGAACTGCTTCCAAGTGTACTAGAACCTCTCTGACCCAGGGGTAATTCTGACACCTAGTTAGCTGCAAACCCTCACCTTGATCAAACCTAACTGGTTACTAGGAATAAATGGAAGATCCTTAAAGGACTGGAATTTTCTTAGGGTCTTGGGACCTGCAGCTGCTGTCTTTTCCCACAGAGGGAGCCAAAGCTAAGCAGCTAAGCTTTCCTTTAGGTGTGTAAAGGAAAAATGCCCTGGCCTTTCTTTTTATGTATGTATCTTTATTAAGTGGAAGTGAAACTTCACAGGGTGGTTTGTCTCAGCATTACCAACATGTAAAGTAACTCAAGCAGCTTTGCTTAGGTAGTAGCTAGACTTGGTGCTTGTGCTGTCTTCTTTATTACATGCTCTTCCAGCTTAAGACTGCTGCTAATTGAAATAGTAGATTCATGATAGATGCAAGTTAGCTGAGCTCCTTTGACGTGGTGTGTGTGTATTTCAGCCTCTCCTGATCAACATCGATCCGAAATCAACTCGTGCAGATGGGACATGTGGTAACACATCAGCTACTCTGAAATTGAATGATGGAAATAGGACATTAATTGACTTCATGTTCGTTGTTGTAAGTAACTTCTTTAAGTTTCTGCTTTAACAGCATTGTGTGATGAGCATTCGTGGTAAAATCCTGCAGCTCGCTGCTGATAGGCTGTTTTCATAAAGGAAGTGAGACTGACTGGGGCAAAAAGGTGTTTGGGATGAAGTTCTGGGAAGTGTAGGACTGTGGTAAATGCACTAAACTTTGGAAATGTGTTACTAAAATTGAAAATGCAGAATGACACGCTGACAGTTGGTTCTTGCTTGTTAAACAGAATGCAAGTGCAAGTGTACAAAAATTTTATCTGAAAGAGGTGAACGTTACACTACTCAACCATCAGAATGGTTCTGGTAAGTAATGCCTGCCTGTGAAGTGAATGTAAACTTCAATTTCTACATCTCATCTTGTGCTTCTGATCAAAATACTGTTCATGCTTACTGTTACTTCCTACATGTAAGTCTTTTAGCTGATATGAACAAGAGTGACAAGCACAAATGATTGCAAGGGGTCGTTTGAAACAACAGTGCAGGGTTGTGCTGAGACTAATGTGAATGAAGCCTCTTCTTGATAAACATAAATTGTGAGGGCTTTCCTTACATTACAGTCCTCAGTAACATAAAATTCTGAGGTACAAAGTCAATTGAAGCTTTTTGTTTTTCCTAAGCAAGCTGTTTCTATGCTTGAAAAATGATACAGTATTTTCCTGTCTCTTCTGCTCAGTACTGGAGAGGAGTCCAGTCCTTCAAGAACTCAGGCATACATTTTTCTTCCAAATCAGAAACATATTTTTAAATTGTCACAGCTACTGCAATTAAAAGAGCACTAAAGTGCCTGCACTGCATCTGTGTAGGCATGAGTGAAGGGATGAGAAAAGCCTGCTGTCATATTGGTATGGAGGATAGGCTACTGCTAAGTATTATAATATGCAAAAGAAGCCAGGCAGTGAAATGAAGCAGATCAATCAAACTCAAGACTGTTTTGTGTTTTAGAGTAGCCAAACCTGAAAAGCTGGTCCATCCAGATTAAGCTCCTCAGTCCTATGAATGTATTAGCATCTTTCCTGTATTTAAAGTAGGCATGGAAATTTCCTTTTTTTTTTTTTCCTTTCCTTTGTTTAGTCATTTTAAGTGCAGATAACAACAACTTCAGCAAGTGGGATGCTTCCCTTGGTAATTCTTACATGTGCCGTAAGGAGCAAACTCTTGAGATTAATGAAGATCTTCAAGTGCATACTTTTAACCTATGGGTTCAACCATTCCTTGTGAAAGAAAATAAATTCTCAATAGGTAAGTTATTTTATTTTTGTACTAATTCTTGTATGTGCTTGTAAAATTCTTACTTGCTAAAAAGTACCAGAGCTGCCCATAAGCACTTTTGTTATTTTATTTTGTTGAAGCTTTTGCCCCAGTGTATTTTTGTATGCATGAAATTAAACTTCTGAGGCCTACGTTCAAGGAAGGTTGTCAGCTTTATTCTCAATATGTTTAAAAAAAAAAGCAAAACAAAACAGGTCTATTAAGCATTTCTCCTCTTGAGGGAGCTAGAGGAGCTGAAGAGGGTCTTAGCACTGCCTTATATCTTATCATATGGATTTTTGTAGCTTGAATGTATAAGACAATGGGAAAGAACTTGTATAAAAGTGAACTTCAACAACTTTTGGCAATTCTTCAGACCTAAAAACGATGTGAACGTTCCTAAGGAATAGCAATGCTGTGGAAAAAAGAACTAACAGCTTCTTCTGGAAGCACTCTTACAATATATGCAGGACCAAACAAACGTTCTAAGGTGTTTGCTTCATTATCCTGGTTGTGTCTGGGGAAAACTGGAAAGATTTGAATGAACTTTGTTAATCTTTAGCATCTCTTGGTCCTTGTGTTTCATGACTTGCAGGTTAATCTGTAGACAGTCTGGGCATGGATTTTCAAGCTTGTTTTTTTCCTGGGGAGTGGTAAATTGACTCCTCAGATTGTGTGCAGGGTGACTGATCTTTATCATCATATGCTCTGAGGAGTTAGATGGCCGTTTTTCCCTGTGTTTCTATTTGCAGCTAGCGCTCCTCCTCCTCACAGTTAAGGGTTTCATCTCACTGTAACATGGCTCAGTTCTTGCTGTGTTCTCAATACCGAATCCAGGCTACTTTATTTTTAATTAGGAAATGTACCAGGCTTGCCTTAAGCATGAAGTAGATAAGCCTTGTCCTGTCTTAGCAGCAGAAGAATAGCTGCTCCCTTGTCCTGGACAGATTTTGTGCCCATGAATGCTCCCACACCAGGACAGCACCTTTACCTTGTTAGATTGTTAAATGTACAGAATGATTATAATGTTTAACATATGCTAGAAATACCCATGAGAACTCTGCAGTTTGTTCTTTCTTAGTGTAAACCTGTACAAATACTTGATTTTGTTCATCTTCGTGTTAAGGAAAGTAGGTTTTTATACCACGCTTGGCAAGTATTCTGTCCTTATTTATTCCTTGTTGCAACCTTTTTCTTATCTACAGCCCAGGAGTGTTCGCTGGATGATGACACCATTCTAGTTCCAATTGTAGTTGGTGCTGCACTTGCTGGCTTGATTGTCATTATAGTGATTGCTTACATAATTGGCAGAAGGAAAAGCTATGCTGGATATCAAACTTTGTGAATCAAAATGTAATCACTGCTCTGATTTCACCCTTAACGAAGCAAGTGCAAGTTCCGAAGTCCAAAAAAGCCCCAAAACTTAGACTGAATACTGGCCACAGCTAGTTGGAGTTGAGAAGCAGAGGGAGAATGTTTATCTCAGATGAAGCACAACTACGTTTTTAGTTTTCCAGCTCCAAGAAGATGACGTGAGTCTCACACCTGTTCTGAAGATGGCAGATATCACTATTGCATAAATGACCAGGCCAAGGATTTTATTTTGAACAAAACCTTGAAAATGTTTAGGATTTATCTTTTTTTTTTTTTTTTTTTTTTCATAAATTGTAGCCTGAAATGGAGCACGTTCCAAACTGATGTGCACTGGGCAAATCCCAGAATTGCATGGGATTTGTACTTGCTTCTCTCTCTGCATTCCTTAGTTGTCATATTTGTGGGTTAAGCTGGCAGCATTAGTCACCATGTTGACTCATGTAGTACTACCACGGTTTGTATGATGCCCAGGAACAGCTTGGTTTTTCATAGTTGAACTTCAGGCTGGTGACTGAGTGATTTTTTTCGAGTGGCAGCAGTAACTTACTTAGCTTTGATGGAGTTTGAGTAGTTTACTCCTGCCCCAGTGGTTTTGGAGCCATCCCCACACCGTGGCTGTACAGGTCGGTAACCCATCCCTGCCAGGTTTCCAAATGCTTTTCAAAAAAAGTGGTTTGTTTTTTTCCTTTTTTTTTCTTTTAATGAATTGTTAGGCATGAATTCTTCATCGTGGCATTCCCCCAAAATACTCAACTGAGGCAGAATTCTGCTAAATTCATGCAGGTTTTTTACTGGCATCAATTTAAAGGGAATAACCGTTCTAAATAGTCCAGAACTTCAAAGTGCACTTAACTTTATACTTTGCACAGAGCTGGTCTATCTTATCTTATTGCTTTGAATGACCATTGTAACTTCAAGGATGCTTTCGTTCAATGAGCCAGTATCTGTTGCTGCAACTTGAGCTGTCTTTAAGTCTTCATCTGGAATGGTTCTCTGCTAATTGAAATCCACATTATAACATATGTCTGCCCTTGACATTCTCAGTGTTTAATGTGCTTTATGTTTGACTGTGTGCTGTGTAGCTTTTATTAATGTTAAGGATGCAAAAGCCAAACAAGTCTGAGATGGACCCACTGCGCCTATTTTTCCTGCTGTGTGGAAAGGCTGACTAGCTTAAATATACAGTGCAGATGGACTGTCCTTAAGCTGCAGCTCTGTAGAGAATAACCCTTGCTGCACAACCTTTTTCTGTCCTCTTTGTGCTGTAACAGTTTTCATTGCATGGAAGAAAAAAAAAAAGAAAACTTTTCCAAACCATGTGTGACTTTTTACTTATGTCATAACACAAGCTGCTTAAGCTGGTCATTTAACAATCATAGTTGTCTTCTTTAGAATGAGTTTAGCCTGCAACAAAGCTGGTTTTGAGTTTTATTAGTGTTTTCTAGGGTTATTGAGATGTCTGTGGCATGTTTGTATACAAACCACTTCTTTTAGTAACATTTTTTGGGTGAAAGTTTTCATCTTACCACTAGCTAGGGAAGCAAGAATGAGTGGATAAAGCTTGCTATAGCTTGTAGCCTACAGCTTGGATTTTGCATCAGTTACTGAAAATCATTTTAATGAAAGTGGGGAATGACTATAAGTTTAATCTCAAAACAGACTTCAAGACTTTTTAATTAAAAAAATGTCAACTAGTGGCTCTAATTATTTTCTGCATTTAAGGATATATTAATATGAAGTTCATGTAGATTTTTTTTAGCATTTTACTGACTGATATTCAGCATCACCAGATAAATGTACGCTTGTGTTGAGGAGTGGTCACCACCCTGTCCTCATCTGAGCGCGTGAGCTTTCGAGCTGTGTTTGGTTTTAAGTGACGAAGTAGAAGAGGGGAGTGCTTTGCACTAAAAATTCAACAAAGCTAAATGCCTCCTTGCAAAAACCTGGAAGCTGATCTTCATCTGCAAGTGTGTTGGCGCCGAGATGAAAGTCCTCCTACGCCGCTGTGCAGTTACCTGGTTCTAAAACATCTCAGTTTCACCTGACTGCCTGTTATAAAACCACCAGATTTCCTGTCTGCGTTGCTCCATAGGGAATTGTCAACCTGCTCAACCTGTGCTCTAAATAATAAAGATTGTTCTGTTTCTTAAGGAAACTTGTTCATACTTTTTAACCGATTGGAAAGCAGACATCTTGTATTATCTTTTCTATAAGAAAATAAACGAGTAAGGCCAACTTCAATCAGTCTATATCTGAGCTTCTGTTGTGTAACTTGTGAAGGCACTCCTCACAGAGTCCTTGGTTGCCTGTGTCTTAATGTTTTGCTTTCCAGCACGTTCTGAAGTGTGCTTGGGTGCAATCATCTAACAGAAGACAACTTGAGAACTAATTGAAACTCTGCAAGCCTGGTTCATCATTAGAAATTTGCTTGTAAACTATTTTGGCAATTGCAGCTCCTTCCAGACAAGATACCTTTCTGATGTGATTTTTGCTAGCCCTCTTAAGCTGATGTACAGCTGTGAAAAGTTTGGCTTTTCTTTTTGCAGTCATCCTGGGAAATAAATCCCTGCATTTAGTGAAAGTAGGGAAGCACTGGGGCCTTCTGGGAGCTGGCTAGCAGCTTCATCCTCCAAGGGAGAAGCAGTGTGATCCTGGCTGTGCTGCCAGTTCTTCTGGTAGCAGTACTACACAGTGCTTTGTTTTTTTCTGCAGCAAGAGACATTGGTCTTCCCTTTACCATTATCTGTATTTTGAACTCTGTGGTGGTGAGACAGGAGGAACAGGTGCCATCTATTGCTGTACCCTCCCTGCTCCATTCTAGTCTGCATATAGCATCATTAAATTATACCTACCTTCTTGTTTGCTAGCCAAAGAAAAAATTATTGTCTTTCTGAAATGTAAGCTGAGGTCAGCTGAAGCTTTTAAATATGAAGGATAATAGATATTTCAACAAAAATCATAACAGCTTGCATTCTTAAGACGTGTAAATCCAGTGGGACTGCAGGTATCAAGCTGCCATCAGCTCGTTGGTGCATGCCAGGCTGGATGAGTCTATGACTAAACTTGAAAGAAGCAGAAGAGCTGAAGTTACTGTTGTCCTACAATAAGCATGAGGACTTGTAACTTTAAAATCTAGGTTTTTAGTACCTACACAAGGGAAGCCTGCACATCGTGGTGTACTAGAGATATGCAATAGCAGTAAATGTGCAGTAATACACAGATACCAGCAAGGGAGGTGATAGAATTGGCAGTCTGTTAGCATGATGCTCCGGAAGGGGGGCTGTTGCTGCTGTGCTTTGGGGAGGGGGAGGAGGACAAGGGAAAGATGAGTGTCTTAATGTCCTGGTGGGGCGAGGATAACTGTTCTAAATGAGTGGAGCATGATCTTGGTATTAAGCATATTAAAATGCATTTCTTTTTCAAACTTGCCCTTTTTCTGTTTAGCTGAAGACTGCAGCCCAGAGGTGGACTACTTCATTGTGCCTATAGCAGTAGGAGCAGCTTTGGGAGGATTAGTTGTCCTAGTAATTATGGCTTACTTTTTGGGCCACAAGAAACACCATAATACTGGATATGAGCAGTTTTAAAAGGGGAAAGTTTTTAACTTGCTTGAAGTAAATTACTAAATCTGAACTCAAAAGACTCGGAGCAGCAGCTCTGCCCAGTCAGACCACTAAGCCAGCGCATGGCCAAGGACTGATGGAATTCATTGCTGTGGTTCCTATTTTTTCCTTTACAAATAGCACAGAGCGTATCCTGGTTCGTCATCAGCTGATGAACTGAGTGCTTTTTCTCTAAAATGTTACACATCAGATCTCAGAATCGTAAAGGCATGCAGTGGCATTGTATGAATAAACGTGGTGTTGCTCTGGACCGCAAAGGCGATGTTTGATGTGTGCTTGTGGATGTGCAGCATTAAAGCAGATCATCTGCCATACACTGCGGTTTGTTTCGATTGTTACTGACTGTGCCTTACATACAGTTTACTAAATATTGTAACTGTGCTCTAAGATACCAAGATTTCTGGTCTTTTAGCTTAAAGATGCCATGGCAGTAGTTCTCATGGATTTTTTCAGCCCGTGAATGAATGCCTCCTTTTAAAAAATAAAATCTTACTGTAGTTCTCTTTATGGAATACCTTAAACCAATTGGGGGGGGGGGGAAGGCTATTAGTTGCTTCTGGTGATTGTAATTAAGAGGGAAGATGACTTTTCATATCATGCCCAAAAATCTTGGTAGCCAAACTTTCTGATTATTTTGAATGTCTGTTCAGTGAAGTGGCTAAAACAGCCCCATTCATACGGCCTGAACATGGAGTCTGCTCATGGTGATGTGCAGTTGTCCAGGTGTGTCTCTGCAAATGCTTCTCTGAAGCTTCTAATGCTTGTGCTGTGGTAAAACGTGGATACATGTGAGCCAACAGCAGTGGCAAACTTATGAGAGCTGAAAGATGGGATGTTCCTGGTATCAAACATTAAACCCTTTTTGTACCGCCAGTTAGTGTCCTGCAACAGTGCTGTACTGTAATATGTGTTAAAGCAATTGATTTCCTTTTAAGAAGAGAAAAAGGGAATTTCTTTGCTGTCTGCTGGGTACCTTTCATCCCCAACAAATTCTCTTGTAGTAACACCCATTATCCAGCATGTAGTAATTAAACTGCGTGTGTTGATCTCCAGTGATCCACGGTGTCTGAACACAGCACAATTGAAGCCTCTCTTTCGAGGTACTTCAGTACTGTTTTCAGCAGTCGGAATGACTTCACTTAGCTCGTGGTGGAAGTTACACATTCTGTGCCTTTTTCCCCACTTTGGAGCATTGCTCAGCTTGGCAGTAGGTGCCTTCAGCTTTGCCCAGCTCAGTGTTCTTAGGTGCTGAGTTTCCGTGTGTCTTGCTTACCTACCTCCAAACAAAAGGCCTTACACAGCCTTTCTTGGAAAGTTGCTGTGCTGGACTGCAAACTTCCCATCACCAAGGCTGATTCAGATGCTCAGATAGCTTAAATACTCACTTAACAGCCAAAAACTTTGGGCAAAGTGTGATGCTTACTCTGCTCTAATATAAACTCAAGCAAAAAAAAAAAAACCAAACAGAAAATCTGCTGCAGAAGCAGAAAGCCAAGCATCCTTGCCACCCTTGCAGTGCTGGAGCAGTGTGCTGACACGGTGTCTCACCTTATGGAGCATTTCCTCTTGGCACCGTGCACGCAGAGCTCTGCTCTGTCTTGAAATGGCTGCACAGCGCTAAGCCCTGCTTCTGTGCCTGCTCACGGTGCTCCGTGGAGCTTGGAATGAGTTCCCACTGTTGGTCACTAAAAGTTGCTCTCAGTGTTTGCGTCACTCAGGAGTTCATGGCATCCTTTCCAACTGGTGTATTGAAAGCACTGTAGCATTGCAGCTGTCTCCTCTTTGTTCTCTTCTGTTGGTTTCATTCCGGCCCGCGTTGCTCTGCTGACATCGATAACACCTTTCTTGTATTTGTGTGGAAAATAAATAAACTTACCCACCCACAAAGATTGTCCCTTGGTGTTTTCCATTCCATGCTTTCATTACGTGTCCCTGGGCTGTCCTTTGGATTCCTCAGGACTTGGTTTGATTCCTATTAGCCGTCTGCATATCCGAAGCCTTGAGAAATGGTGGTGGCTGGGGGGTTTGGGGAATCTCTTGGAAAGGCAGTGCTGTACCAGCCCGTGTTTTATGTCACTTTATTGCTGTTAACTGAGTTGTGAGTGGCCAACGTGCTCAGCCCTCTGCCTTGTCCATACATCCCTCATGCATCTGTGAGTGCTGCAAAGCAAGATGAAAGGTAGTGCAGAAGTTGCAAGAAGAGTTTTGCCAGTGCAAATGACGTGTAGTATGTGTTTAAAGAATCTGCTCAATACTGATTTTACTTCAAATGTATTATATATGTAATACGATGTTCTCAGAAATGTTGTGTCTTTACTCCTTGCTTTACTTGGTTTCTGATGCTCGGTTTCCTTTACTAATTTGTTCTCACTTCCCTTTTTGTTTTTTGTTTCTGTTTTTTTTTGTTCTTTCTGCAGCTGAAGAATGCTTTGCTGATTCTGACCTCAACTTTCTTATTCCAATCGCAGTTGGCATGGCACTTGGCTTCCTTATCATTCTTGTCTTTATATCTTACATCATCGGAAGAAGAAAAAGTCGTACTGGCTATCAGTCTGTATAATTTCTTAATTATTTCTCTGCTGCCGCCCCTGTGCTCTTCTCCTCCTTTAAAAACAAACAAAACATTCTTAGGTTTTTTTATTAAAAATTAAAAAACACATCACAACAAAATAATACAGCATGAGATGAATTGGAAATTTACTTGAAGCTACTGTGTGGTTTTTGGAGAAAGTGTTCTGAGGACCATGGAAGTGAGCGGGGTTACGTGTGTCCACTTGAGAGATGTGATTGACTACAGATGACACTGAGACCTTCCTTTTGTTGTTCAGTCCTTTTATATGAGAAAATTTCTAGCTGTGTACAGCTATCAGATATTGATAAAAACCACATGATAAATGCTGCACTGGTGTGGGAAAATGAAAACAAAGCTCATGGTGCTTCTGTCTGGAACCTGGCTTGTGGCTGTTTGTCTTCTTTCATCGTTTAGCAGCTTGTTCCTGTGAACCGGTCTGAATTCCCTCCTTCTGAATGTAAAGAGAGTACCTCACTAATAAATCAACCTACTATGAGGAGAACGTTTACTCTTCTAGTAAATTCATGTGTTAAAGATCAGCATGGAGAGGCTGACTGCTAGTGTGTTTGCAATTGCTTTGCACTAGCATGCCTGTAACTCCCCTGTAAGATGAGACTCAGTCCTGGAGAGTTCTCACTGCTCAGGAAAGCCAGCGGTCCACTGAAGCTCACATTTTGTGTTGCTTTCTTTGGCCGTCTTCTCCTTTTCATTCTGAATTCAATTGTGGAATGAGGATGGGAGGGTGGAACCTCACTGGCAGCAGGTTGCCTGAGCTCTGGTCTGTGCTAAAAGGGACTTGTGAGAAGAGCAGGCAGCACCGGTCCCCAGCGTGAGGCTTGGATGTTCTGAGGATGAGGAGCGCGTTGTGCCGAGATCCTTGCAGTTTCACTGGCAAAAGGGATCGCTGAAAAGCTGCAGTCTAGGAATTTATTTATAGGATTAATCTGGCTTTAGCCTCCTAATTATTACTCTCCCAAACAAAATTTTGAACAGGGTAAGAGCACAAGATCTCTGGTATGAGAAATGGTGAGCGTGAAGCAGAAACTCTACAGTAAAGAAAGTGACTTGTAAAGGAAAAGAGCACCTGACTTGTGCAAAGCTGCTTTTCCTGTTCTTTTTTTCCAGTTCTGTGTTCCATACCAGAACTGTACTAAAAGAGAAGCTCGTGGTCTGTGGCTGAGTGCTGCTTTGCTCCCACTGGTGTGTGTTGGTCAGACAGAGGTGGCTCTTGGAGCTGCCTGGAGTTACCAGGGATGAGCCCCTCTGCTCTGCTGCAGCAAGTGCATTCCAGCTGCAGCTCTGTGCCCAGGTTGTAGACCAAACTGTCTCTCACCACTTCAGCATCACTTGCTGCATTATTTTGCTAAAATGTGGCGATTTCCTGGATGTACAAACATTTTATACATATATATGTGTGTAGAAAGGACTGATCTGGACTTCAGTAGAGGTCAGAAACGGAGCCGGCACTTTAAGGCTGTAGCATGAAGAATGATGTATACAATTCTCCAGGTGTTGGAATGGACCTGTGAGTGCAGAACGTGTATGGAGAACAAGCTGAACTCTGATGGTGGTGCAGTTTTGCTTTAGCATAAGCAGGCGTGCATTTCCCAGGGCTCCTCAGCAGCCCTGTGGGTTGGCCTGAAGCAATGGGGGATGTTTCCCTTTGGGATCCAACAGAAGGAAGAGTGCTTTAACAAACCTACCAGTGATACCTATGGCTGTAACTTATTTCTGATGCCAAAAGCAGCACCACTGCAGTGTCTGTCAGCAGAAGCTATTCTCTGGTTAATGTTTTTGATGCTTTTTAAGAAACAGCTGTTGCTGGATGGTCGGCTGTGATACCACAGCATGAGACTTCTCTGCACTGAGCTTCCAAGCTCTGTGGTTCTGAGAGCTTATTGGAGCTCAGGATTCACTGCTCGCTGTACTTGCAGCTGTGAAGGTTGGTCCCCTGTGAGCAGAGAAGGGGCTGAAGTCACAAATCCCGCTCGGGTTTTAAGAATGATACCATAGAGTTAATTAGACAGTAGTCACTTTATTTTTAATAAATACAAAAAAGGGCTTCTTAGAGACTTATATAGATCAGCAGTGATGGCAGATTAAGTATCTGGACGAGGATGTAGGGCAAACATACCACAATGCTCTCGTTCAGTCAGTAGTTTTACTAAGTGTGCTTTCCTAAGTGCATGGTCCTAAGGTGTCCTGTCCTGATTGTAACTGAGAGGAGAAATACGCCCTCTGTATGTTAAATATGAAGGCCAGTATAATAAAAGATCTCATTTTCCAAATAATCAAAACTAAAGTGAGTCTGAGTGCCTGTAGAAACAAAGTGTTTGCCTAGATGCTGAAGTCACCGCTGTGCCTTGCTGTCCTAGGGAACAAAGATAGCAATCAACGTGATCATCGTTAACACCGAGGAAGCCTTTGTTGAGGCCTCTCAGGGCTGGCACAGCTGCACTGCCAGCCCAGGAGTTGGGGATGGGGCCAAGCAGCCTTGGCTGCAGCACCCTGTATGGGCCGGGTGGGCTGAGCTGCAGGCAGGGTGCTGCTGTTGCCAGCAGTCCAGTGGCACTTTGAGGTTTGCCATCTTGTTAACTGTCATCGCAAGCATCGTCCAGAACGTTTGGTGTTTGGTATTTGAACAGGAATAGTACTGATAAACCACCATCTCGTTAGCTGTTGCCTGAGAATTGCACCTAAAACTATTGTAAAGATTAAAACAGAGGTCACATGTGTAAGAGATCTTATGGGAACAGTGTTCAGGTACCAGAGTTCTTCTAATAAAAACTGAAATGCTTTTGCAAATCCTCTGCCCAAAGTGTAACTTTTAATTTTTACCAATCATGATTTATCAGATGCTGAAAGATGCGGTTGCATCTCATTTGTTTCCTAACTATTAAAAAAAAAATAATAATTCAACAAAAATTTCCACATGTCTGTTTTCCTAGTGGGAGAAAAAAGGAAAAAAAAAAAAAAAAAAAAAAAAAAAAAGCTGTCTTTATGTTTTAAGAAGGAAAAGCCTCTGACCGACTTAACCTCATGCCTTGTGTTTACTGGCTACTTTCCGATGCTGAGTGTGAAGATGATCCGGCCCAGGAAGCGGTCGCTGTTAACATCATTGATGATCCCTTTCCCGTTCAGCTTGCACTGAATGTGGACCAAACTATTCCTCTTCACGTCTGTGAAGTGCATGGCCACCAGGGGGGACGTGTAGTTGACCTGAAAAAGAGAAAGATGCGTTCAGTTCAGAGCAGAAAAGCAGGCAAGGCTCCGTTGTGTTTGGTGAATACCTTGAGTGCTTGACCGCTGTGGGGCAGCTCAGTGCTTTTTCCTATGCTCATCATCCCTCCAAGCACCAAAGAAAACCCCCAGCAGTGCAGGCTGTCACTGTCAGGAACAGCTGCTGCTGTTCAACTGCCCTGTGCCAGCTGCCCGCCTTGCAGGGGTTTTGGCACAGCTGCCACTGAAGGTTCTGGGGGACTTTCCCTCCACGCCACCCCAGCACACCCTGCCCCAGCACCCTGCTGTTGGGAGCTCTGGGGCCCTAACAAAGCCTGTTCTGGTGCTGCGGGAGCTGAATGTGACCATCCCCGCTGCTGGAAGGGGGAAGGGGTGTCCCTGAGGGTTTCCTCTGGTTTGCCAGGGATGGAAATAGAGTGCTGTAATCCCAGTGCCTGCAGCCTCCCTCCTGCACCTGCCCAAAATAGCCAGAAACACACCTCTGTGCCCACTCCTTTCCCAGGAGAGGTAACAGCTGCTGGGGCATCTGTGGCCTTACTTACGTGTGTGAGCTTGCCGTAGTAGGGGTAATACATGAGGTCAAATGTGCCATTTCCAGGGTAGAAGTCCACTGACCTCAGATCGCTCTCATTGCCTTTCTGGGATTGAAACAAAACAAAGGCACAGTGTGTGGGACACAAAATGCACTCCCCTTGCAGGGAAGTGAAGGAACTTTAGCCCGTCTCCTGCAGCTCCCCATCCCTGCTGTAGCAAGCAGAGAAACCTGTGCTCAGAGGGCACAGGCAAAGGTTGCAGAGTGCTGCTTGCTGCTCTCTGTCTGGCTATTTCACTACTGCAAGAAGGGTATGGACCAGATGCACTGTGTGGGAGCTGCTCCTTCCCCCTGTGCTGCTTGCAGAGCACTCTCGGGGTGGGGGCTGTAGAGGGATGCAGCTGTTCCTAATTCCTGACTGTGGGATAATGGGAGGGGGTCTGAGGGGCACAGACGGCTGAAGTAAGGGCACGGGCACAGCAGTACCTGCATTTTGCAGTCCACGTTCACAGGGACCCCAGCGCCAGGGCGGTAGCCTATGATCTGCAGAAACAAAAAAGACATCACAGCTGTATGTAGTGCAGTGCCACGTGTGCGCTGCCTTCCTTCCGAGGGCTCTTGCTCTTGCTGGCCACAATGCTCAGGAGGAGTGCAGTGTCTCACAGCCCTGCACTGTGCCACTTGCCTGTGCCTGAGCACTGGGTGGGTGCCTGGCTGGAGGGGCAGAGCAGTGTGTTGGGAGCATCCCTCCTGGGATACAGCCACCTCCCTGTGCACAGCTTGCTCCCCTTTGTGTTTGTTTTGCCAGCAGTACACACTGAGCTGTTCTGGCATTAGAAAACTGCAAATGAATTTGGTTCTGTAAAAATACCCATTATAAAAATACAGCTTGGGGTGCAGCATTAAAGCTCGGTTCCTCCCTGAGAGGAGTGTGGCACACATCCTGAGAGCTCCCAGCCCTTCATCAAATCAAACCCACCCAGTTTTGTAGTGCTTCACTGTAATACTTTCTGGCAGGTACAAGCAGGTTTGGATTTCTCATTCCCTTTTCCATGGACCTGGCAAGAGGCCGAGTTTTGGGCTCTGCGCTGTTTTTAGCCTGTCTGCTGGGGTACACTGAAGGGAGGAACAAGGACAACCAGAATTTCTGTACCCGGTTCATCTTCAGCAGGATGCAGGGCTGTCCCTTAGAGAAGCCAAACGTCGGATCCTCAATCCCTGAGCAGTTCTGCAGCAGTGAGCGCTTGAACTGGCAGGCCTTCTTCTCCTCACTGTCGTTGCCCCCTTGGATGAAGTACTGTCCTGGGACACACTCAATGTTCTTCTCCTCTTGAACTTTGTCATCGTAAGCTGGTGGGGAGCAAGAGACTCGTTAAGACCTGCTCAGACACATGTTCTGAGTGTATCCAGATGCCAAGGATCACACCCAGGAATAGGCATGGAATAGGATGGTTTCCCAGCTGCGGCTCCCAAGGCTCCCAAAGCCTCCCATCCAGGCAGGAGCTGTGAGACACCCACAGCTGATCTCCCTGTGAGGATCCCTCTGTGCTGGGGCTGGGGCGGCTGTTACCCTGCCCAGCCCCAGAGTTGGCTCATCATCACCCCATCCCCACATGTTAGCTCAGCCCTGGCCCCACGCTGCATCCTGTGTGCTATGCCACACAGCCCTGCACTGCATGAAGCTTGCCCTCACTGCAGCCCCCTGCCCACCTGCTAGGAACTGGTGCATGCTGTCCACATACGGCTGCCACGTGCTGGGCTTGGAGACGTTGAAGGCAATAGTAAAGCCGTTCAGGTACGGTCTGATCATTACTCCTGGGAGTGAGACAGGTGTTGTTAGAGTGGGGCAAGGCCAGCCATGGGCCTGGGCAGTGCAGGACCAGGTGCACTGTGGTTAGGTCAGGCCCCAGCTCCCAGACAGCCATCTTCCTCCTCCTCCACCACCACTCACAGCACAGGGCAGCCAAGGGCCCCCTATGCTCCCAGCCAGAGCAAGGCTAGGTCTTGCATGCTTCCCACCAACATGAGAACCCAGGGAAAATGCTGCTTCTGCCATGGGGAAAGGAGGTTTAGAACATTACCGCATATTCACTCCTTCAAATAATACTACATAAAGTTACTCTTGACTGGCACTTTGAAGATCTGAGGTATAAATTGACAGCAAATGAAATACTGTTTATTCCTGCCTCCCCAGCCCCTCCATCACACTTGCCCCATGTGGCAGCGGGGCACTGGGGCTGTACCTGGTGGAGACACACGGTCCCGGTAGGTGGGAGTGTAGGGACTCAGGGTGAGCAGCATCACATACATGCAGAAGGCAAACATCCCCGCCAGGCACGTGTAGAAGATGAAGTAGAACAGTAAGATCAGGCCTGTGGAGCAGAGGGCACACAGCTGTCAGTGCAACCAGAGCTCTGCCTGCGGGGATGCACAGCTGCTCCAGAGCACCAAGCCCATGGCAGGGAGCTGTCAGCCCATTCAACCCGACCCTGGGATTTTGGGCTGCCAAATGGACATAGTGCTACCTAGGTCCTGGGTATGGGGCAGTTTGTGGCACAGCCCTCCCAGAGCTGGGTCGGGCACAGAGGTGCTCCCACCACAACGCGGGCTGCCTCAGCCCTGACGTCCACAGTCCAGGGTTTGTTTTCCTCTGGGCCAGGCTGACGGCTGAGGATGTCTCAGGAGGCCGCAGCCTATGAATAACACCCCCCAGCTTCGAGCGAAGCAAAGCCTAACCCAAACATTTCCCAGGAGAAACGTGACATCGGCGCAGGAGGAGTCCTGGGAACGCAGCTGTGTGCAAACACGGGGCTGGGAACCGCCACAGGCCTGCGTCCTGCTGCGGGCTGCGCTGGGTGGACGGGGCTGCCACCAGGGCACCGAGCTCTGATGGCCGGGACGTGGCACCCTAGGCTGCTCAACATCCACCTCATCAACTGTGACAGCAGAGAGTGAAATACAGCTCTGTTCTCTGTTAAATCTAATGATCTCAGTGATCTCCCAGGCCCTCTAGGGCTGTTTAAGTATGTGAGCCCAGCCGTGGGGCACTGGGAGACATACCAGCAGCTCACTGTGCCCTCCCCATGCCTGTAATGCAGCACTGCTCCTGGGGCCGCATCCTGTCCCAACACGATGCTCTGCTGCAGGTGCCGTGCAGTGCCTGAGTAACAGAAAGGGGACGGGGACCAAGATGGGGACCAAGATGGGGATGGGACAGGAAGAGGGATGGGCCTTTCCCAGGCATCTTACAGTGGCAGGAGCCAGGTGGTGGCTGCAGCAGGGCTGGGCCCTGTGCTCCCTTGGACTCTTCACACCTTTCCAGGGCACACTCTGGGCAGCCTGAAGTCTTTGTTTATGTGTTCTGGATGAATACTGGTATCCAGACCAAGGGTGATTTTCTGCTCATCCTCACACCCCCCACTCACTGGCTTTATTGTTCCCATCAAATGTGCAGCCCTAGCAGTTCGAACGGAGCAGTGGTCAGAGCTAGAAAGGACATTCCAAGGAAAGTGCATCCACTGTGAAGCAGAAAATGCAACGGCTGCTGAAAATGGGGCTCAAACAAGGACCTACCCCAGCTCTTGGCTGTTCTCCCCATGCAGGTTCTCTCCTCTGGGTTCCACAGGAAAGTCTTCATCTCCCCGGCCAGGTCTGCCCATGTTTTGTTCCCCATCTCTGCCTTGGTCTCTGCCTTCCCTCTGTCGGGATCCTGCACTTTCTCTTCATGCTTATTTTCCTGGAAGAGTTACAGAGCACAGCCCCCACAGGCAGCCTGAGCATCTCATTGGCCAAAAGTAAATGCAAAAACACTTAATAGCTGGAAATGTTTCAAATTTCCATTTTCCCATCATCACTCTTGAGTTAAGGAGAGGCAGTTTTGGGCTGTTCTGACTGAGGCTCACTGAGATCCCAGCGTTCATTTTCCCATGGCACAACATCACCCCACTGCCACCCTCCTGTCCCCACATGTAAGAGCTTTGTCTTTTTGACACAGCCACAGGACAGCCTGCAAGCAGGGAAAGCTGGGGCTGTTCCCACATGTCTACACCATCTCTTATCACAAGCCCATGTTTTCCATGTTACTGCAGACACCAGGCGGCATTGTTTAAGAGAACATGCACTTTATTTCTCTTGGCAGGGTGCAGACACTGCTTGCAGCCCAGGGCTCAGTGTGACCCCGGAGCACTGTTTGGGCAGTGGGATGCGTTTCTTCCCAAAGCTGTCCAGCCTTGGGTGAGCGGTCTTTGTTCCAAGGTTGGATGCTGAATTAGGACACCAGATGGAAGGCACACAAAACAGAACCTGGCTGCAGTCTGTCATCTTCCCATGCGATAGCACAGGGCTCAGTGCTGCTGGCTGGCTCTGGCCGTGCCCATTTCCATAAGCTCTCTGTGAGTGCGGCCCCGCAGCAGCTGCACTAGCACTGGCACTGTGTTTGTGCTCAGGGCCATGGAAACCTGCTGGCTGTGGGCACCTGTTGGCCCAGCAATGTATTTATACCCTGCTGGTTGTCTGAGGATACAGCCAACAGCTCAGCAGAAACTCTGGCTCAGAAATGCCTCTGAATGGAGGGGACTGAACTCTGCTCATATACACAGACAGTGCAAAGTAGTGAAAAACAGGGAGAGACATTGGTGTGCTCTGCAGGCAGCTGCCAGGACACCTGCAGGGACAAGTGATGAAGAGGAGGAGGAGGAGGAAAAGGAAAAGGAAAAAAGTATTCTCCCTTCTCCCACTCTCCTCCTCGTTAAATGAAAGAGTTTTGGCACGGGGAACGCAGAGCTCAGTGCTGCAGATCCAGCACCCAGTCAAAGTCCCTTCCTGCTGGCTTGGCAGCAAGAAGGGGGGGCCAGGGCAGCTGGCCAGGTCATCCCTGCTGCACGTGCTGAGGGTGGGCAGCATGCAGGGTCTGATGGGCAGACACAAGGAGCTGCTCAGAGCCGTTAAGGGTGAAGTCAGCTCTGTGCTGCAGCTCCACCAGCCTCACAGCCTCTCCCCCTGCCCAGGGCACAGTGCTGGTGCTCTGCAGAAGCACTGAGCAGAATTTCCAAAAGCAGAGCTGCCCCTTTCCCCACCGTGAAATGAGCTGCAGCTGCAGCCCCCAATACTCACCAGCCCCTGGTGGGTGCCTCCCTCAGAGGCAGCAGTCATCTCCATCCCCGGCTCTGAAACGCAGACAAATGCAACTGTTAGCACTGCAGGAGCGCAGGGCTGAGCCCAGCAACTTCATGCCCACCACGGGGCCCCCACTCCCCTCTGCAGCCCCCAGCCCCGCCGCTGGCTCCAGCTGACCCATGAGGCCAGGAGACCCCCGCCTGCTGCAGCCGGCGAACCGCACTGCTTTGGCTCGCTTGCCCAGAAGACTTTGGTGCTCAGTGCAGATCAAAAAATAACTTGCTTTCATAAGAGGGGTGAGCTCAACGCAACAGGATCCCACCCTCAGTGCAAGGCCTTGCCACCTGGTGCCCTTTGCAGCCGTACTGTACTGCTGGAGGGCCTCCAGCAGCGGCAAACATCCGACAAGAGAATGCGGGCACTGCAAGGAGAGGGGTGTCTGTTCACAAACACCGGCACATCACTAGGGCTCTGCATCTGCACGTGTGCCTGTCAGTCACTGTGGGATCCTGCTTCATGTCTACAAACTCCCCCCCCGGTGCAGAGAGGGGCAACAGAAGGACAGGGTGATATTTATCCCATTGCACCCAGGAGCGCAGCATCGGCTTCCTGCACCAGTATGAGGGAGAGGTCAAGATTTCCTTTGTCAATGAACTATGGGGTGCAAACACCTGCACTGGGGATACAGCTCTGGGGTCCCACCGCTGTGCAGAATCAGTGTGCTGGGAGCAATGGGGTTGGTGAGAGGAAGCAGGGATGAGGGGCTTGAGCACATCCCTTCCATAGGGCCAGACCCACATGGCTATGCCAGAGGACCCGGAGGAGCTCGAGCAGCGTTCAGATGGCACATGGGAGCCACCAGCCCAGCAGCACTCCACACAGCTCTCGAGGAATAGCAGGGGTGGCTTTACACCATCACGGCTTGTTTTACACCATTGGGCCCGGCGTATGCGCAGCACCAGACAGCGGCGCAGCTCATCCCCAGGCACCTCACCGGCACAGCCTGCAGCCGCGCTTCCGCCGGGCTTCATTCAGCGGCGGGGAAACGCCGTCCTGCCACAGCGCTGCGCCAAGGCCCAGGGCCGCAGCAGGTCCAGCAGGCTGTGCGCCATCTCACACCCGAACGTGGCCGAGAGCCGCTCCCGGCCGTGCGAGCAAATGGGCGCGGCGGGCAGAAAAGGGTTCTGGCAGCGGCCCCGGGCCGTGCCGAGCTGCCAGGCTGGCCTGCCTGCTGCCGGGCAGCGCAGGGAGCCGGGGGCTCCGTGCAGCCTTCGGGGCCGTGGGCGTGCAGACACCCGCATCGCCTGCGCGCCGGTTCACCCGAGGCGAACGGCTGCTGCCCTCTCCGCTAATTGCTCTCTGCTGTGCTCCTGGGGGAGGCTGGTAATTAGGCTGGTACCCGGTAGATGGAGGGGAGGTTGGAGCAGAGAGAAGATTCGCTCCTTTTAACTTGATGAAATGTGCTCCGGCTGGAGATAATGACACGATGGGCACTTAGCGCCTCTCAGCCCGGGGCATTACGGTGATACTCAAGCAATCGCGGAGCCCGCTGGGGAAGTGCTTACAGCCCCGTTTCGCAAAGCCGGCGCGGGGAACGGACGGCAAGGGCCGGCCGCGGCCCACCGCCACACCACTCCCGCTCGAGCTTAACACCGGCGGCCGGCGCAGCCGTGAGCGCGGCGCAGGGCTGACAGCGGCCCCGGCCCATTGCCCGGCCCCCCGCCTTCAGCCCGCCCCCGGCCCGCCGCCCGCCTCTGCCGCCGCGCAGGCGCCGCTCCGCCGCTGCCCGGGCTGTGGCCGCGGCCGTGGCCCGGCGGGCTGCGGCGGGCAGCATGCGGCAGTCCTTGACTCAGCAGCGGCCGGGCGGCATCGCCCTGCCCGACTCCGTGGGTGAGTAACAGCCGTACCGGGGCCGGGACGCCACGTCGCGGGGAGGGGTGCGGGGCCGCGTCCCCGCAGAGCGCGGCGGGGGGCTGCACCGTGCGCTTCGGGCTGTCGGGGCAGAGCCCGGGCGCGTCGGGGCGGCACGGCGGTGTGCGGGAAGCGGTGCACTGGGGAGCCCCGCCGGCAGCTCGCGTTCGCCCCTGGACGCCGTGCGAAGACGGCGTTGCGGAGGTCTGACGCGGGGACGGTCGCTTTGAAGGCGGCGCGCGTTCCGTTTCAGCGAGAGGAGCCGGAGCGGTGCGCGCGGCACGACTGCGTGACATCGTTCTGACGGCCGGGCACGGCGCTGCGTGTGCGCGCAGCCCGCACTGCCCGCCTCGGGGCACCGGGCGCGGGCTGCGATCCGGAGAGGCGTGGGGCTGCGCTGCGCGGCTGCGCCGGCCGGGGCGGGGGGGCGGGTCGGTGTTCTCGGTGTGCGTCTCGGTCGTGAGCTCGGAAATAATGTCAAAATGTCAGCGATGCCCCGTCCATCCCTGGAGGTGTTCAAGGCCAGATTGAAGGGGGCCCTAGGCAACCTGGTCTGATGTTAAATGGGGAGTTTGGTGGCCCTGCTTGTGGCAGGAGGGTTGGAGATTCATGGTCCTTGAGGTCCCTTCCAACCCCAGCCATTCTGTGAAACAAGTTCCAAACGCGCAGGCAGTGTGCTTCGGGCTCAGTGTTTGCTGTCACCTCGCGCTCATCCCACCCCACAGAGCCGCCCTGCACGGCACTGCAAGGACCCAGCTGTGTGAAGAGCACTTACCTCTCACGTCGTGGGGGTCAGCAGGTCAGTGACCATGGTGCATTGAGTTGTCCTGGAGCACTGCAGAAGTGCTGCTGTTTGGGAAGCAGCAGAAGGGTGGATGTAGGATCATTCAGGCTGGAAAAGACCTTAAAGAGCATCCGCTGTTTCCTCTCATCCTGTTGCCAGTGAGACCAGCCCTGCTCTCATTGCAGTCACCTTTCAGGTAGAGGAAGAGAGCAGTAAGGTCTCCCCTCAGCCTCCTCTTCTCCGGACTGAACAGCCCCAGTTCCTTCAGTCTCTCTTCATAGGCCGTATTCTCCTAGCCCTCCACCAGACTTGTTGCTCTTCACCTCCATTCCTTTCTGCACTGAGGTGCCCCAAACTGAACACAGCACTGGAGGTGAGGCCTCACCAGTGCCGAGTGCAGGGCAGGATGACTTCCCTGGTCCTGCTCACCACAGCATTCCTGATCCAAGCCAGGATGCCATTGGCCTTCTTGGCCTCCTGGGCACACTGCTGGCTTATCTTCAGCCCACTGCCCATCAGCACACCAAGGTCCCTTTCCATCAGGCAGCTTCCAGCCACTCCTCCCAAGCCTGTAGGGTTGCCTGGGGTTGTTGTGACCAAAATGCAGGGCCCGACACTTGGCTCTATTGAAACTCACACAGTTAGTCTCAGCCCATTGATCCAGTCTATCCAGGTCCCTCTGTAGTGCCTTTCTCCCCTCAGGCAGATCAACACTCCTTCCCAGCTTGGTGTTGTCTGCAGACTTTCCGAGGATGCATTCAATCCCCTTGTCAAGATCACTAATGAAGATGTTAAATAGGAGCAGCCCCAGTGCTGAGCCCTGGGGGACACCGCTCGTGACCGGCCGCCAGCTGGATTTAACTCCACTGACCACAACTCTTTGGGCCCGGCCATCGAGCCAGTGTTTCACCAGCAGAGCGATGCCCATCCAGACCATGGGCAGCAATGAGCATCTCCACGAGGGTGTTGTGGGGACAGTGTCAAAGGCTTTACTGAATTTTCATGGATTGTAACATAGAAAAGTCTAGGTCTATACACCTAGCTTATTCTCAGATTTGGGAGAATAAAATGAGAGTGCTGGTAAAAGGTGCTGCCTGGGCTGCTCCAATAGTTACTTGTTTAGCTGCCTAGATATTAGTTGTAGCTAAATGCTTCTTGCTTTTGGTCCTTGCAGTGTCCCCATACTTCAGTTACAGCTGCACTTAAGAGTGCGAGCAGGAAGCTTGCAGGGGCATTTCCTCCTGGAGACACCAGAGGGTCAGCAGGATTCTCCTTTCCTTGCACACACCTCCTGGTGCACTGCCTTGTGTGGCTGATGGCACCATGCAGCCCATGGAGTGGCTTGGTGAGGGCACCCTGCAGTGGGTGTTGTGCCTGCACTATGCGGGGGCAGGGCAGAGCCGTCCCCATGCAGAGAGAACTGGTTTGTGCCCAGGTGTATCAGCATGGCTGCTGGGGTGAAAGCAGATGACATGGGTGGCTTTGCTGCAGATACCTGCAGATATACTCACACCCTACGGAAGGGTCTGTAGGCACCTGGGATGCACATCTTCAAGACAGCAAGCTGCCTTTCGGACCTGAGGGACTCCTGTCTTTGGCAAATGTGGGCAGGGAAATCGTGTTGGGCTTGGCCCAGTCCTCTCTGCCCAGCTGAGTTATGGACTCATCTCTGCACTTGCCAGGGAGCCTGCATGCCTCAGGTGGGGTGTCCCATGGGTGACCTGCTTTAGAGAATATGCTTGGCAGGAGTAAAGGCAGCCCTGCACTCTCTTGGGGTGCATCCCTGCCCTGCTTCTGAGTACCCTGTGAGGTGCAGCTGGGAGCCTCTGGAGTGGGGAAATGTGTTTGCCTGCTCCGTGGGTGCTCTGGGGAGCCCTGCGCCGTAGGCTGTGATTTGGAGATGTCCCAGGGCAGCAGGGAACCATTACAGCCCATTGCTGTGCCAGCTGCTCGCTTCTACTGGGTTGTGTTTACATAATGTATGACACAGAATCAAAAGGATTGTTCTGAAAAGTGATTTAAAGATTGCAGAATAGGCACTGAACAAGCACCCCTGCAGATGTTGCTGAGCATAAGATGGAAGCCAGCTTTTCTCTTGTCTGATGGGATCACTGTTTTATATTTATGCTCATTTGGGAATCTATAAATACATTTAACAAAAAAAAAAAAAAAAAGGAAACCAGAATTAGGCAGCTGTATACGAGTTTCCCTAATCCACAATTCATTATTCAAACATCTAAAAATACCTGGTCGTTGCTGAAAGTAGGGGTTGCTGCCGCAGGAGGAGTGGCTGTGACTTTATTTGGAGAACTGTGGACACCTTGTGACACGTTTACAGCCAAGATTTCCCCCCTCAAAACAAGTGGCGTACAGTATGGCTGTTTGACTTAACGCGAGCAGACAGACCAGAAAAGAAATGAGTGCCTTGTGGTAGTGCTTCTCGTTAGCTTGTCCCAAGGAGGATCTACTGTATTTAAACGAGCTTTGCAAAGTTATGGTTCTTAGGGATTTCTTCATCCATATCTGAGCAATGATATGTAAATGCACATTCAGGTATCCTAGTAGAGATTGATAAAGCACATTATGAAGGTGAAAAGAGGCGGCTAGAACAAAGAAAGGAAATTCACTGTGTTGTGGTTGGTGGTGGGAGGAAAAAATCTGTGATACCATGACTGTCCCCAGATGGAATTAGCAAATTGTGTTGTATATGTGTGTTTTTAGGGTCATTCAATAGAAGAAAAAGAAATTCCCTCTACGTAACTGTGACTCTCCTCATTGTGTCAGTATTAATTCTAACGGTGGGCCTAGCTGCTACAACAAGAACCCAAAATGTGACTGTTGGAGGTTATTACCCAGGGGTTATTGTAAGTATAGAACTCCTAGGTAGGTCTAGAAAACGTATTGCCTACGAAGTCCCTTGTGATGCTGCAAATGTTATAAAGGGTGATCTTGTTCTGAATACTAATGTATGCTCAGCTACTTCATTGCCATTTGGTTTATTTGTTTTATTATTATTTTGCACCTGCTGCTCATTCCCATGCAAAAATCCCATCCAGTCAAGTGGCAGTTTCCCCAGAGCTTAGGTAATTACATGCTTTTGATCTAGAAGTGAGACAGATATATAGGTCTTACATCAGTCAAAGCAACCTGAGTACTTTGTTTGCATGCGTCAGATTAACCCCAGCCAGCCAGGACCAGAGGTGCCAGGAACAGCAGGGAGTCTAGATCTTACAGTGAAAGCGTTCCATCTGAACGGACACACAGAGATCCTCAAGTCCAGTTGTGAGATACTGCTCAGGTGAACTTATGGTCCTAACGTTCCTTGCAGAAGTTTTCAACAGCACTTGTCTCCGCATGGAGAACTGCTCTGGCAACTTGCAGGCAGAGCATCCATGTCAAAGCAGCTAATGCATTGATTTTTATTTTTCTTTAAATCAACAAAGGAAAATGGGCTAATTGTAGCTTCAAATAGCTTAAGCCAGAGAAGCCCTCTGGTGCCCAGCATTTCTGCCAGCAGAGTACAGCCCTTTGCAGAACTATGTGGGGAGACTACCTCATGCCCATCCCAGCCAGCGCTGCATGAGCTGTACAGCACATCCTGGTCTGTTGCTGTGCGTGTCTGAGGCATCTTGTAAGGAGCACAAAAAGGACTAAGCTGCAGCTACTCTTGGGAGCTGAGCGTGGCCACAGCCCTCCAGCTGGATGTTTCTGGTGTGACAGCCTTGGGTGCTGCACTGTTGGGTTCAGAGCCTCAAAGTTGGAGGCTTAAAGCCAGCTCAGATAGGCAGAGAGCTGGTTTCGCCTTCTTGCTCTCTGGTTTATTTACTGTGCACAGCCGATCTCTGGGAAGCTTTTACTTCTCTGTGGACGAGCTATTCTACAACTGAAGAAAGCCCCTCTGCAGCCCTTTGTGCGGAATGTTGTTACCAACAGCATTTAGTCTCTTTGATTTAGGATCGTTCTTCTGGCTTGTCCCAGTAACTCTGCATTAAGACCTGGTGTTCCAAAAAGAGCGGCAGTGAGGAAAGGTGCTGAGCAGGATGGCAGGCTGGCTCCCAGCTCCCCACACTATCAGTGTGCAGGCCTCTGCCTGGAGCAGCCCTGGGAGCGCCGCAGATGGCAGGCTGTGGTGCGCAGCCCCGTGACATCTCCCTTGCTGTTTGTGCTCCAGCGACGTCAGCATCGCTGACATCTTTCCTGAAACTCGGTCTGCTCAATGGTTTCATGAATTCCTGCGCTTGGGCAGGCGGAGGCAGCCTGCCTGTGTGTGTAGGCCCTTCACCAGTTTCCCCCTCGGTCCATTAATCTGCTGTGTGGAAATGCGTGACGGCCTTGCCTGGCTTCCCAAATAGGAAAACGTTCCCATTTGCTGATGGATGCTTCAGTAGGCACTGAAAGCGGCTGACGCTTTGTAACAAGCCGGGCCCTTTCCCTTTGCTGTGCTGAGGGGGCCCACTGCGGTGCGGGCTGCTGGGGAGGTGGCCCTGAGCGGCGACTTCTGCAGCACGCAGCAGCTCTGCACCACCGTGGGGACCGTGCACACGAAGCCAGGGGCCCCTGTGTGCCAGCATGGTGCTGCACTGCGTTGGTGAGCAGCAGGAAGCAAGGAGCTGCAACGCTCTGGTGTAGTCTAGCTTAGTGCCCCTCAGCCCAGGGCCGCAAAGCGAGCAGAGCGGGGAGCTCCATCTGCAGTCACACAGCAGCCCTGTGGAAATCTGGGTGGCGAGCAGCTGCCCTGAATTTGATGGCTCTATATGCACGCTGTCACTGTCATCTGGCTGGCATGGGCTTCTCTAAGAGCAGATGTGCGCTGTGCCATCTGGCCTCCAGGGCACTCCTGGCCTGATGCTCTCTCCTGCCCTGCTTTGAGGCCTTCGCCTGTCTTGGCCAAGCAAAGAAGCTTCTGTCTGCAGGGAGATGGGATCCCCCTGGCCTCTGCTCCCGAGGAAGAACCGAAGTAGGCACTGCAGATCTTCCATCCTTCAGGGGGATTTTTTTTTCTTTTTTTTCCCCCACAAATAGTGCAGTTCCTCACTGATGCATCTGAAAGAGCTGGAGCTGAGGACATGATGGCGTGTCTGTAGCCAGGCAGCTGTCACCCTCAACCATGACCACTGATCCCTTCGCAGCTACTTCTGTGAACCCTTCGACTGTGCCTCCATGGGAAATAGCATCAACTGTGGATGACTGATCCAGGCTTGGGAAGTCTGGATTGCAACAGTAATGCTCAGTTCCCCCAGCAGTAACCATCAGGCAGGCACAGAGGGCAAGTGCCCAGCAGCGGCCACATCTGTCAATGCTCTTTGCAAGCAAGCCACGTTCAGGAAGGGGACAGCACCTCTGTGAAGGCCACGGACAGAACATGGCTCTCAAAAGTCTCCTTTGCTTTTCCTTGTTAAAGGCTGTCCATGTGGTACAAGTGCTCTCCCCAAGTTAGAACAGCTTCAAGCATTGGTGTAAATGATTGACCTTTCTTAGGCTTTTACTGGCAAAACTTCTTCTCTAGTGGTTCCTTGTCAAGCAAGTTGATCAGGGACTTTCCTCTGGAAAAGCATTTTTGTTTGTATTCTGTATCCTTTCAGACAGTCCGATCCACCAGCAGGTAACAATGACATAATTGATGCACATTACTAAGGTCTCTGGTGAAGAAGGGTGGTTTTTTTTTTTTTTTTTTCCCCCATTAATTCAGGATGAGAATCCACTGATTTATCTTTGCCCATCAGATGTAGTGGATCACCCTAATTTCTTCTTTTTGAATTATCTTGAATTATGTCAAGTCTTTCACCTCTTGGTTTGTGGCTGCTCTCAAGTGTCACGTGCACATTTCTTTTAAATGTGTTAGATCAAGTTTAAAGGGGCGCAGAATGGTTTTCTTGAATGTTTGCATTAGGATTGCATTGCCAGACAACTTCCCTGCTGCTGGATATCACCAGACTGAAAATATTACCAGGATCTGTCTCTCTGTAATGTCTGGATTGCTGATCTTTTGGACTTGAAATTGAACTTTAAGACTCCCCTTACTTAAAGAAGATGAAGATGGTTGTTTGCTCAGGCTGAATAAAATAATAAGGGACCAACCCAGGGGCAGTTCAGCAGCCCCCCAGCTCTCTGCCCCACCTGCCTACAGCCAGGGTAACTGAGCAGTGCTGGGCATCACTGCTGTGCTTCACGCCATGGTAGCTGCTCTCTGATGTGGGGACAACAGTCTGAGAGCTCAGGGTGCAGCACAGACAGGATAGATGGGAAGCAGAAGCCTGGTCAGCTGCTTAACTTTAATCCCCTGCTGCTGGAGACAGCAGCCCTTGCTGCCTCTGGTGTCGGCACCAAATTTTACAGGGATTAAGCAGGGCAAGGTAAGATCTGACACACACTCTTCATCGTATTTGTACCTGCTAAGCTCTGCTCATGCCTCTCCTTGTTAGTAGTGGGTTTGTTAAAGCTTTGCTTTCTGTTCTGACATCTTAAATATCGAGTCCAGGTTACTTGGCCTGTTCTTGAGTCACTGCAGCTTATTTGTGCCTTACTCTGCTTCCTCGGGAGCTGCTCAGTTACTTAGCTTTCTTATCCAGGTCTTTACCACCCTCATCTATCAAATGACTTTGTAGCCTGCTGAATAGGAGCAATAGCAATTGCAGGACTTTCCCAGCATTTCTCTTTGCTAACTCAGAGTTCTGCTACGCACTGATAAAAGACCTTTCTGATTATGACCCTTACAGAAGCGCTTCTGGATCTCCCTCTGTAGTGCACAGTTCCCTGTTTTTAGCCTGGTTGAGGTGTGCTGTGTCCTAGAAACGTCTCCAGCTTAGCTAAATAGCTTACGGCCATAGAGAAATGGGGTGGAGAGCTGCTCCTAACTGGATTTGCTGAGCTGAGATGAAAGCAAGAGGAAGAGATGCTTTTGCTGGATTAGCTCCTTCTGTTAGCTGGGCTGGTGTGAGCTTCTGGTAAAAGGCCAAGGCTGATGAAGTGTCACTCCTTCAACTGAGAGAGGAGTAGAAGATGCCAAAAAAACCTGTTTCCTCAGTATGAGTTCTCCTTTATTCACACTTTGTATCAAGAAACTGTGAGCTGAATGCTTAGGTGATTGCTCACATCCTTGGTGAGGTTACCAGAGTCTGGTCCTGAGGTTGCTAGTGGTGTCCTGCTAGGTCTGCATCTGAGTCCATGTCCTCATCCACCCATTTCTGAGCATTACCAGGGAGGGTGCTGGAGACAGAATTCATCCTTTTGGTTTTTACACATGCTCTTGGTGTTATGTGAGGGGTATGCTTGACAGTCCCAGCAAGTAGGAGACTCCACTAACTTCCTTGCTGAGGGAAGAGTGCTCATGAATTCAGTGTGCTCTTTTTGTGCTTCTGGATTTATGTCCTGTCTGAATGTGAGATACTTTGGGTGTCTTCCTGATCTAAATGCTAACAATATGTTGTCTTTCAGCTTGGTTTTGGGTCATTCCTTGGAATAATTGGATCAAACTTGATAGAAAACAAAAGGCAAATGGTAAGTTCATGATGCAGTTGTTTGTTTGTTTGTTTTTCAAGACTAATTCAGATTCTGTGTGTAAAGAATGTTACTGGTTTTCCTAACCCTTCCAGGCTAGTGTTGCATGCCTCATGAGAGCTATAGATGGTTCCTGGCAGCCCAGGAGAACAAGGCTGTTAACCCAGATACTTTTCTAAATTTGAGAAAATGCTCAAAGACAGAGTGACTATAGACTGTCTCATTGAACTCAGTGGGATTTTTCAAGGGCTTGAAATAGAGTGTTTGGAGATTTCAGGATACTTGGCACTTCACAGACTTATGCCCACCACATTTTACGTTGAGCTGTCACAGTATGTGACACGTAATAGCCTAGGTATAATACATTTATTTTAAATCTTTCAAAATGAATTCCTGGAGGCTTGAAGCTCTGTGAAAACTGCTTTTGGCCACATTCTAATCCAAGAAAAGGACAGAGAGGGAGATCAAACAGCCAACCCAGAGACTGGAGGGGAAAGCCAGCAGAGGGCCCATCAGAAAGCCGGGTCTGAGGCTGAGTGCTCAGAGCTCTCTGCTTGGGATAGAAAATTCTGCTCTGGGAGAACGAATGACTTGAGACTGTGAGACGATGAAAAGAATCAATATGTTCCTTGTTTTCAAACATCTCTTGAAGCAGCAATTAAAACCAGTACATTTTTTTGTGCAGTAGAGCTGCAGTTGGGGTGTGAGAAGCATGGAAGGTGCTGCTCATGCCAGGTATGCAAACCACGACTCTCTGGTCTCTCCTCACACTGCAAGGAGGGTTTCTCATGTTGAGAATCTTTGTGCAATGGGGGCAGAGCACCCAGATTGCCTTCTTTGATAAGCTCAGGAGACCTGTGTGTGGTTCATGTCTCATGTCCACTAGCCATGTCTTGCAGGTGCTGTTTCACAACCCTCTCTCTTTTCACCTGTGCTGAAGGCAGCTGCTGTAGTGCTTGGAGCATCAGCAGCTGCAGTCTCCATCCAAACTCTGTCCCACACCTTAAGTGGCAAGGTCCCCACAGGTCTTGCCACTGTGAGATGGCACGGGGGAATGAATGATGCTGCAGCTGTCTGACCCTGCAGCCTGTCCTGCTTGCTCACCAATGTTGCCTGCTTTTGGAGCAGCAGAACTTCCTCTGCAGGGGGGCTCATGGATGCTTAGCAGTGTCTGCTAGTAACCAGGGCTAACGCAAGTTTGGCTGAGGGAGTCTGGAAAAATTCCCACATGTACTGGGCTGCCCTTTGCTTTGCTAGAAATGTAATCCCCGCAGAGCATGGTGCTGGCAGCAGGGAGGGGGTCAGACAGAGCCTTCAGGAGAGGAAACCTTTCTTTCCCAGAATTTTCCCAGACAGGGTGTGGGGTAGGTGGGCTTCCCGGTGGCTATTTTTTGCTCTTTTTACCCTGACTGTGCAAGAAGAGAACGTCCTGTTCCATCTGTCCTTGTAGTGTTTCCAAGCCTCTCGCTCACTGGTGTAATAGCTGCAGGTCAGAGCCTGGTTGAGTAATCGTTACCTTACACCAATCCATTTTGCACATAACTGCCAGTAAATAAGCTGCCTACTCTTCAAGGATGCCTTTCTCAAAGCACAAGAGCTTTCTGTGCCTCTGAATAAGAAAGAGGGCCGAGGAGGCAGGAAACCAGCATGGCTCAGCAAGGACCTGCTGGGCACACTGAGGGCAAAGAAAGGTGCCTACCAGCTCTGGAAACAAAGCCGTGTCACCTGGGAAGAATACAGGGATGCCATCCAGACTTGCAGACGTGGGATCAGGAAAGCCAAGGCACAGGCAGAACTGAACTTGATGAGGGATGTGGAAAACAATATAAAGACATTCTACAGGTACATCGGCTGGAAGAGACAGGCCAAAATGAGTGTATCTCCTCTGGTAAATGTAAAAGGAGAACCGGCTTCAAGAGAAAGTGGAGGTACTGAATGAGTTCTTTGCCTCAGTCTTCACTGGCAACCAGGATTCTAATATTTCTCATGTCCCTGAGCCCTGCATCCCTAAAACTCTAGGTTGGTAAATCCCCCCCCACTGTAAGGGTACAGCAAGTCCGAGACCATTCATGAGACTGAATGTGTACAAGTCTATGGGGCCGGATGGCTGCATCCCAGGGTTCTGAAGGAGCTGGCTGAGGTGGTTGCCGAGCTGCTCTCCATTATATTTGAAAAGTTGTGGCTGTCAGGTGAGGTCGCGGATGACTGGAGGAGGGGTCACATCACTCCTGTATGTACAAGAAAGGGAGCAAGGAGGACCTGGGGAACTACAGGCCAGCAGTCTCACCACTGTGCCTGGAAAGATCATGGAACATGTGCTCTGTAACATCTTCATCAGTGACATTGATGACAGAATTGAGTGCACCTTCAGCAAGTTTGCTGCCAACACCAAGCTGAGTGGTGTGGTTGTCACAGTAGAAGAAAGGGAAGCCATTCAGAGGGACCTCAAAAGACTTGAAAGGTGGGCCTGGGTGAACCTGATGAGGTTCAGCACAGCACAGTGCAAGGTTTGGCACTTGGGCCACAGGAATCCCAGGCATCCATACAGACTGGAAGGAGCTCCTTGAGAGCAGCCGTGCAGAGAAGGACCTGGGGGTCCTGATGGATGAAAAACTGAACGTGAGCCAGCAGTGTGCATTGCAGCTCGGAAAGCAAATGGGATCCTGGGCTCCATCAGCAGAGGGGTGGCCAGCAGGGAGGTGATTGTGCCTCCCTCTCTGCCCTCGCAGTAGGCAGAGCTGAGTAGACACACAGTAGCTGTTGCTCATGGTCTCCATGTTTTATTCATGTCTTGCTTCACCCAGGGGTGCTTAATTTTACAATGGGCAGTCTTGCCCATTATGTATTTCCATAGTGCCACAGGCAGTGCAGAATGCTTTCAGTTTTCATGGACTTCACCGGAGCCCTTCTTTAAGACAGTGTGTGTTGCTCATGTTGCTCATTACTCAGTCACTCGTGGTGATGTCAGGATGAGCTAAAGGCAACTTCTGCAGCCATGTTCCTGTGCCTGTTTCTGCCCAGGAGGTGGCTGAGGAGCACAAGGCGAGCGTGCCAACTTGGCCAAAAACGAGAACTGACCTGAGTCTGAATTCTCTCCAGTCTGCAGACAGAAATAGCCAGCTCCCCTTTCTCCCACCCCAGCAGATTGGCTTTCGAGCCGCGTGTCTGCGCCTTGCACTCAGCAGAGCAAGGGAGAGCACGGTGGTGCCAGCACTGAGGGGAGCTGCGTGGTCAGTGCTTTGCCAGCTAAAAGTCAGCACTTTATGATGCTGTGTGACAGCCGCTCATGCCGTAGGAAAGCCGTTACTACCAGCTTCACAAACCTTGTGTCGCTGTAACGGTGTCCCAAGGCAGCTCCAGAGCGGAACCCACTTATTTTAGGTTCCTACGTTATCCAGACGTCTTGTCTGAATGCTGCTCAGTGTAGCTGACTTCAGGCTTCTTTTTCTCCAGCTCAGGGAGAGGAAATTGGCGTATGCGAGGGAAGCAAACCCATTTCTGACACTGGATCCTTGGATTCTAATGAGGTTGTTATAAAAGTATAATAATTAACTCCGTATCATTTTAAATAACCATTTTAATAGTTCCTATCTGCCAGTGGAGAGGACAAATAACCTAATTGTGTGTACAAAGTGTTTGGCTCACTTCCCATCCCAAGGGTTATGCTTTTAAGGGGGGATATCCTTTCACATATGCATGAAGTGCAGGAAAGTACAGAGGGAAACTTAGTGCAGAATGACCAAAGCTGTAGAAAAGCATTCCTTCTACTGGGATTGTAAGAAGCTGCACTTTCCCCCATTCTGTGGTTTCACTGGTTGTGACAGAGAAACAGTGTGGCCGTTGTAACTGACTGACAGTGCCAGAAATGGAAGCCACTGTGGCTGGTGGGCTGAGATGGCCAGAGGAACATTCGTATGAGCAGATTGCCTGCAGCTCTCTGGGTTGCAGGGAGAAGAAATTCCTCTCTGTGGGGAAGAGTTAAGGACAAGCAGCAGCCAGAAGAGGAGGTGTATGGTCAGCCTAAGTTTAGCGCTCTGGAGTCAGGGAAGATCTTATATTACAATATCAAGTTGTCTGGCACAACTGTGCTGCTCCTGCTGCCTTGCGTCTACCTCCGTGGGAGAGCAGGCGCCTCTGAGACACACATCCCACTGACTTCAATGAGACCAGTCTGTGCAGCCTGGGCAAACATTGGGGTCATTGATTGCTTGAGGGCTTATTGACTGTGGTTTCTGTATCGGTGTGGAAAGGACACAAAATGTTTGGTTGTGGAGAAGCACATGACGCTTTGCTTTGTTTTCCTTCCTTAGCTGGTTGCATCGATCGTCTTCATCAGCTTTGGCGTCATTGCTGCATTCTGCTGTGCCATAGTAGATGGTGTCTTTGCTGCCAGACACATAGTAAGTGCTTCCAGGAAAACCAGAATCCTGCAGTGCTTTTACTCTAGGAAAACAGGTGATGTGTTCACATCGCACATCAGACCACATCCAACTCTGTGAATACGTGTCGTGTGCTGAATACTGGTTTAAATTGTAAAATGTAGAAAAATGTGCCAGCTTTACAAAAGTATCCTGAGATCAGCAGTAAGCATTAAGATGTTAAAACATTGCTTCAGTTCTTCTGTCTGTGCTTCATGTGTTTACTGAATTAGCTGGTGCCAGGTGACAAGGTGGGAACAGTTGCACGTCTGACTTTGCATGTTGTGTTAGCAGAAGCTTCTAATGCTGGTTGAACTGCTGGGTGTTGTAGTCGAGGGAAGCCATTGGGTACGAAGCTCTTTGAGGGGCTTCAGTACAAACAGGAAGTGATTTCAGTGGGCTCCAAGCCCTACTGTGGTCACGACCAGTCACTAGAACAGAGGGACGTGCAAAAACTCCAGCTATTAGTGTAACAATGGAAAAAAACACGATCCTGTTTGAAGTTTTAAGTTTAAACTTAGAACTGCAGATTTTTTTTTTCCCCCTGCAACGTTGATGTTTGATGGCTTTTCTTAGAAAATAATTTATTTTTGCAAAATGGGATTTAAAACATTCATTTTGAGTTTATTTGTAATCAGAATGGAAAGAAATGTCAGGATGTCACAGTTACCATCAGCTCTTTGTTCTTTCTTGTAAGGCAGACTCCTCTTTCCTGCCTGGGTTTGTTCAAACAGTAAAAGGCTGCGGGGCGGCCAGGTTTGCTTGCAGGGCAGGTGGAGTTCTGCAGGTGTGTGATAGGTCCCTGTTGGTGAGCAAGCCGTGACCGCCTCTGACCCCTTTCAGGGGCTTGGTGGAGTGTGAGCACTGATAAAAAGGATGAGGCTCATCCAACTCCTGGCTGATCCCGGCCACGTGGAGTGGAGCCCCGCAGGTTGGCTCTGAGATTCGGGGCTCTGTCCTGGCAGGCTGGGTGATGATGTGAGCGGGCACTCGGTCCCACCCGCCGCCAGCATGCTTGCGCGTCTGTGGCGGAGCAACGAGGGCTCTGGTTTCTGCCTCTTGATTAACGGGTGTGCGTTTGGCCTCGCTTCACCTCCTAACCACCCAAGAATGTCGCCGTCTGCCCAGAGACGTGCTCCCAGCACCCAAGCACATAGTGTTCCCTCTGGGGCACTGTGTGCCAGGTGACACCCGCAGAGCAGGCCCCTGTGCCTGCAGGACAGCCGTCCCCACAGCTGGTGTGCACAAATGGGGGAGCTGCCACTGCCTGCCCTCGGCGCGGTGGGAATTCAGCATTGCGTTTTGGGAAGCAGGCTGTCCGTGAGCGAGAAGGTAATGTGTTTGTTTGTGAGCTGAGCCGTCCCTAATCCTCCAGAGGTTTCCCACCGTTCACTCAGGAGCCCAGAAGGACAGATTTCCCGACAATTTGATGATAAATTGTAATGATTCAGCATGAAGAGCCCTTGGAAACACATCAGATGGCCCCAGGAGACCTCTGGGGATATGAGGAATGAATGAATAATCTATTTCTCATGGGGCAGAAGCCCTGCCTGGGTGAGGCTGGCTTAAGAGCTGCTGCTCCCACGTAGCTGCCACAGACATGCACCCCACAGCACTGCATCCAGAAGCTCTTGGGGGTTGGGGTGGTGGCTGCCATGGCCGGATGCTGAGGCAGAGCAAGGCCAATCTGAAGCCTGGCCCAAAGGCCAGCAGGTTTGGTTTTTGCTGGGGCATTAAACCTGGTGCTCTTCTTTTGGCAGGACCTGCGGCCACTGTATGCAGGACGATGCCAATACTACTCCAAGAGCACCACACCGCCAGAGGTGAGAGCAGGTTGGGCTGTGCTGCCTCCTCACAGGGCTAGCTTCACCTTGCAGGTGTAGAAGCCTCCCACCAGGCTGCTGCCACCATCTCCGGAGTTCTGCAGTCAGGAGCAGCTGGGAGCCAGGGCTGCTCTCCTCCACCAGAGGTGCCTGGAAAGGAGCAGGCAGAAAGTAGGGGGTGGGAGAGGAAAACACACTGATTTCTGTCAGTCTTCAGCTGCACACAAATTACCAGAGCAGAATGTGGATTCAGAGTCCAGACAGCAGTTATTCCTGCTTGTGTCTTCTCCACAGAGAAGCCCTGTGAGGATGGGTGTTCATGCCACACCACGTTAATGCATATGGACACTATTGACTGTCTGTGCTCTGTGCTGAGAGTCCCTCTAGGTTTACTCCCACCTTTCTGAGGAGTTAGGAATAACTATGTTTCACCTTAAAATGCTTGAGGTGCAAATAAAATATTATGGCATGGTACTGGTGGGGTCCATTCTGTTTTTGGCCAAAAGACTGTCCAGGTTAGCTTCGGTGATACTACCCACAGGCAATCAGTCTCTTTTCTCAGTTACTTTCCAGTATGGGAATCTTTCCCTCAGGTAGTGTCAGCCTCTTGACAATTCCGTGCCCAGTTTGCCATCTGGGGAAGCCTTTCTTCAGCAATGCCTTATCTGTTTGCAGGAGTTGCACAACCCACTTCCTACTCAGGTGCATGCTTATCTGTGACTTCCCCGTGGTGGAAGGATGGGGCTGATCTGCTCTACTCCCATGCATCTTTATTCCAGACTGCCTTCTTAGAAGAGCTGTGCTGCAAGATAAGGAAAGAAAGATCTCCCTTGGGCTGATCTTTGCATCAGTGCAAAATTACACATAGAGCAGGCTAAATGGCAGCAGGAATTGTTTGGTGATTGTGTCCGTATGTGCTTTGTGTTTCTTCTGAATTCACACAGGCAGTCTGTCACCCACAGCGTCGTGCACCTTGCACACCGAAAATAAAAACCAACACCTGCTTCTGCTGCGACCTGTACAACTGTGGAAAGTGAGTAAGCTAGAAATATCATTCCTGGCATGGGGAGAGCAAGCAGAGTGGTGGTTTGTGGGTTTCTGAAGGGCCAGGATAATGCCAGACCAAAGTATTGATTAATGACAGCTGTTGTGGGAGGGGAACCGAAGCGACTGTTGTTTGCCATAAGGACTCAGTCAGAAGGGGGCCATGTAAGAGTAAAGGGGTACAGAAATTAGGCTAAAGCCATGCCAGCTACGTGTAAGCACACTTCAGGCCAGCCCAGCTGGAAGAGTGGGTGAGAGTTCCCATTACTTCCACTGCTGGCCTTCCTCCCTTTTTTCCCTGATGTACTTCATCCTAACCTTCCTTATCTGTTGGATTTTATTTAATTTTAGAAGATAGTTACGAAAACTGGGACACTGTTCTTCATTTTCCTCATTGTTTTGTTCTTCCAGTGCAGTTCCTCCAGTAACAGGGAGGAGTGTTCACGAGCTAGTGCTACCTGCATGCTTATAAATGAGTGTCACAGCACTGTGCAAGGAAGAGATGGAAGAGTGATTACCAATAGAGCACCCCTGCACGGTGATCTTGCTGTTGTTAGATCACCCCATGGCTGCTGTGCTTGAACTAACCTCAGCACACATACTGCTTAAGTCATTTAGAGTGTCTGCTCTGTGTCAGCAGAGAATAAATGATTTTCTTAGTGCCAGCTCTTGCCTAGGGCTGTTTCAGGGTTACTATTTCTCATGGGCTGGCCCCCACTTAAATCACTGACTGTGATGGAGATAAAAAGATTCTATTAGGAGAGGGTAGTTCTGGGTGCTGGGAAGGGCAATCCCTGGTTTCTGTAGTGTGTTGTTTCTGTATAAGAATTTGCAGAACAGAATTTGTTTTTACTAAATGAGGGGAATGACATAGAAGTGATTGGAACAGAAAAATCTAACTGTTTTGTATTACTGGGTGGATTTTTCCCAGTCAGCCAGGTTGAGGGTTCTGCCTCTGACCTATTTTCCCTTATTTTAAAGCAGTTATTTCAGACTTAATCTTGCTCGGTGCCACACAAGTGCTTTGCACTGAGGAGGTGCTGTTTCTTTTGGGACCTCAGTGGAAAAGGCACAGACACTCAAGGCTGGTTAACTACTTCATTGTGTATAGGGTGGAAATTACAGAAGTGACAGCAGCCTTGCATGCCTCCTAACGCTGAGAGCCCCAGCTGCAGCAACCTTGGGCAAGTCCCTTCATGTTGAACCCCACACAGGGCTCTTTATCACTGCAGTATTTTTCAAAGCCTTTTATCTTTGGTGCTGAATATCCTTGATGATGAAGCAGGGTTCACTGAGAACAGTACACTCTTACACATCTGCATTAGAACGGGCTGTGCAGGCAGTACGTATAGGCTGTGCTGTTAAAGACTGTCCGGGTCTGTGCTCACATTTCCTAGTTCAAATTGTTCAGGCTATTAAGCAGGGCTTTGCAGCCAAGCCACTCGGTTAATCTCTGCCTCGATTCTGCTTGAAATTGTTGTCTCCTCCACTGAGATCTCTTCTGCAGTGAGTCACTACAGCAAGGGCTGGGAAAAAAGAAAAGGAGAAGCTGAAAGTGAGTGACGAGGAAAGGAGAAGGCTCTTGAGGAAGAATCCTGCCAGCCCGTGCCATGGTAGTGATGGAAAGGACGAGCACTTCAGTAGGGGAGGCTGAGACAGATGTGCCTGGTGGCTGGAGGCCAGCCATGCTGTTCTGCATTCCTCCCATCTAGCTGCTCGTGTGGCTGTGAGAAGCCTCCAGTGTGGCCCTTCCTTGGGACATGGACTGGTTTCTCTATGTGATTCCAGGTCAGATCTGTCCTTGGGAAGCCTCCAGGACAAAGGTCTGGCTCTGGAGATTTCAGGTGATGGAAATAAGAGGCAGATCCAGACTCAAGGGCAGTTTCATATTAGTAGCTGGCAGGACTTCTTCGTTTCACAACATATCGGGCCATCGCTTCTGCTGTTATCGTGCAGGGAGATCTTAGATGCCAAAAGAGTGGGATCTAGCAGGCTTTATCCCTGCTCCTGGCTCAGTGGTCAGGTCCAGGCTATCATTAAATTGCAGATAGCATTTTACTGCCCATTGGAAGTGCTTCGGTTTTATTGCGCGGTGCATTTTTTTTAATCTTTTTTTTTTTTCCCTATCCAGCAGAGTAGAGATTTCTGGAGGATACTATGAATACATTGATGTCAGCAGCTGCCAAGACATCATCCATCTTTACCACTTACTTTGGTCAGCAACAATTTTGAACATAGTGGGGCTATTCCTGGGGATCATTACAGCAGCGATACTTGGAGGTTTTAAAGACATGGTAAGATGATACCAATTTCTTCTGCATTAAAGCAAATAAATCAAATTGCCTTTTTAAAATAATCATGAAAACAACTGTTGGTATTTCTGTGCAAATGATCTTTGCATCACTGCAGTCTGGCCAGGAAGAAGAGCATGGAAAGAACTACGAGGAAAAACTGAACACAATTAGAAAAGGTGAAAAGGCGAAAGAGATGTAGACTTTGTTTTCAAAAGGAACCTTCCCAGAGGTGTTGCAGTGCCAGGGTGAATGCAAATGACCTTTTTGTTTAAACCAGATGTTCCTTTTAATTGCACTGCCCTTCTACAAGGAAATGTGTGCTGGTTGTTCGTGAGCTGTTGATTTCGTGGCACGAGTTGGGTTCTTCCTCCTGATTGTGAAGACGCAGTCTGAACAGCCATCTTGTTTTAGTAGTAGCATGCACCAGGCTGTTGCCAGGCTTGTTCTGGGGCAGAGTTGAGCTCCATCTAACAGACACACTCTGCTCCTCTAAATACTCCTGTGTTCATTCAGCTGTCTGGCGTTGGTGACTGAAGTTGTCTGGGTTAGTGGCTGAGATGCTCTCTTTGTTTTAACAGACACCTTCCCTGCCTACGCTGAACTGCACGGTTGAAAATGCACATCCTACAGTGTCCTATTACTCAAGGCCACAGGTGACATCTTACAACACCTACTACCACAGCACTCCTCACCTGCCTCCCTACTCTGCATATGACTTTCAGGTACAGAACGTTACAGTTTGTTTTCTTCTTTCGTTGGAAGGTTAAATGCAGTCTGCAGGACTCTGGAGGCCTGTCTCTCGATCATTTACACAGTTTAATTTTCCTGTTCACTCAAAGAATACCAAAGCTTTCCTTCTAGCCACTGGTGCTTGGCAGCACTCGCTCTTACTAACACAAGCTCTCCTTGAAAAGAAGGCAGTAGGGCATGCTGCCTGCTTCCCCTGCTGTTCACCAGTAGAGGCCACATTAAAAATAGGCACTGCCTCAGGCACCTTGCTGTGCACCAATGATAAAGACAAAGCGAGGTGTCCAGGTGCTGGTTTGTATTAGGCTGACTGCTGTGCCTGAGAGAAATAGATGAGCTTTTGGAGGAAAGCTCTTTGAGCTCTCAAAGACACGCATAGACTGAAAAGCTCATCTGTTTTTCCCACGTGCTTCAGCTGGTCTAAGAACATTCCCTGCAGACACCACTGCTGCTCCCGTCTCTGTTCTGAGTCATGGAACTTTGCTGCTAGAAACTGATTTCATTTGAATCCTGCTGTCATTGTCAGTTTTCACTTGTTGAAACAGATGAGATTGTTTCACCTCAGCTCTTCTTTCAACTGGATGTTACTGGAGTGGTGGTATTAACTTCACATCTTACATTTTCTTTGTGACTATCACAGCTGGGGACTTTTTTTTAATGAACAAGAGCTTAAGGTCTTGGATGTCAGTTATGAGTTGTGGTCTGCAGTAGCTGCAATCACTGTCATCAGAGCTGTGCATTAAAGGTATCTTGCATCTAAACAGATTTGGATATATTGCTAAGGCCACTGAACAACGCTGTTGTCAGAATATCCCAGAAATATTTGAACATCAGAATTCCTGGGACTTATCTGTACAGATTTTTGACTCATTTTTTAAGGTTAGTGCAACCCAAAGCAGTCAGCAGTGCTGTGTAACTTTTTCCTGTGTAGAGATTCTAACCTCAACATATTACCTAAGCAAGCTTCTCTACAAAGTCCATTTGCCAGACACTCTGCTGATAATAAGCACTGTTTCATTCTGTGCCTGTCTGTGCTGCAGTCCCGCCAGCAGAGATCTCAGCATGGGTGGATTTGCCCTGCTTTTCAACCAAAAGCACTGCTGGGGCTCTCCTAGTGCTCGCATCTCAGCCACCAGATGAAAGCCCCCTTGTCTCACTGCTGTGGTACTACAGGCGTTGGCTTAGGAGCTGACACAAAAGCTGATCAGCAATTAAGGTAATCTAAATTTAAAATAGCCAGGTCTCACTTTCAGGTGCTGTTCTAAGTCCAAGCCTTGCTTTTCTCCAGGAAATTTGGGAGCTCACACGGGAACATCAGCTGAGGCCTCTGGTAGTGGCTGCTCTTTCCCTTGTCTGATCTGAGCACTGTCTTTGCATGGAGCAGGCCCAACCTCGCTTCCTTGCTTCTCCAGTCCCTCTCAGAGGCTGCATTTCCTTCGGTGCAAGAATTGCCTCATTCAGCACTTCCCAGTGTTGGAAATATCCAAATAATTTTGTCAGGACAGTATCTCCGATAAAAGCAGATTTTATTCGCGATTGCAATGGCCGGGGGGGATGATGCCAGGCCTTCCGATGTCTCTTCAGGCACTTCCTCAGGCAGGCCATCACTTGTTCTCTGGTTTGATCTCGTGCAGGACATTCTTGCAGTGTGTGTGAAAAATATGCATATATACACCTACATACAGAGTGTGCAGTCCTGGGAAGGTTCATCTAGAAGATGTGATGTAAACTATCAGAGATCTTCCCCAAGTTAAGTAAAAGGACTCCCAAAAAGAACGATGATAGCGGAGATCATGAAATAAAAACATATATATATTATCCAATTCTGATGCAGAAACAACATTTGATTCCCACCCCAGTCATTCACCCATCTTTTCCAAGAAAGAAAAAGTCCTGAATTTCTTAGGGAGTTTGTGACTCTGCATCTCTGCTTTCTGACACGACAGTAAGACTAGCTCTCTGGTTTTTGGAAGAGCACAAGTCAATGGGAGTTAGCAACAGCCAGCACTATGGCAGGTGGCATCTGCTGGCAGAGTGCTGTGTGGTGACAAGGGCTCTGCGATGGGCCAGCACAGGAACCGGGCAGGAGGAAACCCGCTGGGATGGCAGCAGGCTGCATGCTGTGCCTCCCTTTGTGTGATCTGGTGGCCAGGGGCAGTTACCTGAGCGCATCTCTGCCCCTGGCACTTTGCCTTCTGTGAGAGGGTGCAGACGGGCCCACTTCAGCCCAGCAGCAGCGGCATGTTCTGCCCCAGGTCTCCCATTAACAGAAGGAAATGAGCGCCATCTTCCCAAGGGCCGGATGGATGCGTTGGCAGGGACAGGCTCTGCAGAGGCAACAAAGGCAGCTCTCCTCCCAGCCCAGGGCTGTTGCCAGGCAGCAGTGCTCAGATGCTTGGTGGGCTGGCTTTGCTGCTGGTGCATGCTGTGCTGCTCTAGCAGCGTGTGTCCAAACAAACATCTCTGCAGGTGGGGCTGCACCGGTGGGATGAGCGTGTGTTGGAAAAGTTGCCGTGTTCTTTCAAACAGGAGTGATGTGTGTGACTTGCTGTGAGCTTATAGGTGGCCAAGCTGGTTTTTGTGGGTTATATAGCACAGAATCAGCTGTCATGGGTCCGTTCTAGAGAGGTGGTGCAGGGTTTCAAAAATGCACCGCCGAGATAAAATCCAACCTTGAATACTGTTTGCAGCTCAGCCTGGCGGGTGTGAGAGCTCTGCTCTGCTGTGGGCCCCTCAACAGTGCATCCTTCCTTCTGCAGCTCCTTGCTCAGAGTTGGCACTGCATGCCCGCGCCCAAAGGACGAGCTGCATCCTGGGCAGGGCTGCATCCATCCACTGAGGGGCTCAGTCCTGGCTCTGAGCAGGAATGTGCTTCTCCTCAGGAGTGCAGGGTGCTGGGAGTGGGGCCCAGCGCCTTGCCCAGGCTGCTCCATGAGCATTGCTTTAGCATGGGCCAGGTGGCAGTGAGGAACGCAAGGCTGAGCCCAGGAACGTGCTTGTCAGGGGTAAAATTACGGTGCATTACAGCCAGGAGAGCAACGTGAGTGTCAGTATTTCATTAGCTGTTCAGAATTAATTTGTCTGGCCTATTTCTGGACAGAACGTGACATGGTCACGGCTCTGTGTCAGTGCCAGCATCATACGACCCAAGGTACTGTGGAGAACAAAGGTGCTCCAGAGAGCACAAAGTAATATTCAGGCATGTACATATTTGCTATGTGAAACCTTTTGAAACTGGAGTAAATTGCTTGCTGCCATTATTATTATTTTAATTAACAAAGTGTCTGCAGCCTGTTTGTTACCAGTGGCTGATACATGAAAGCTGAGATGTGAAAGAGCCTCATCAGTTTTTGGTTGTCCAGGCTAACATGAGATGCAAGCAGGCTCACAGCAGAAGCGATGGGAGAGAACCAGAATGCTCCTTCCATTTCAGGTCTCCGGAGTTTCATTACGCAGCACTGTTACTGTGCTTACCGTGAGCACAGCGAGCGATTCAGGTGCTCTCATGTATGTCTGCACGCTTTGCAGAGCTGAGTCTTGAAATACTAATCTTCCTCTGCTCTGTAACGTAATCCTGTTTTACCACTGCCCTTCACAACTGGAGACGTTACGGCATTCTTGCTTCCTCCCTGCAGCATTCCAGTGTGTTCCCAGCCTCCACTCCCTCCGGCCTCTCGGACGACCCGCAGTCAGTGTCACCATCTCCCAGCTACATGTGGTCCTCCAACGCTCCTCCTCGGTACTCGCCACCGTATTTTCCACCTTTTGAAAAGCCACCACCTTATACACCGTAAAGAAAGAAGAGCGAAATACTTGCCGTTGAAATGATTGTGAACATTTTGTGTTTGTATCTTGCTGTGGGAGGAAGGGGGGAGTAGATACAGAAGATAATTGCAAACATGAATACTTGATTGGACAATTCGTTCTTGCGAGACTTATTTCAGAGGTTTAACAGTGGGGTGTGAGGAAGGGGACATACTGCTCATATTCTGCAGGGGACCTAAATTCCAACCTCCTCATTTTACAGCGAGGCTCATGGAGTCCTTGGTTTTTAATAAAGCGCAGACGATAGATTCTGGTCTGCTTTAGTCCATCTTGAGCCAAGCTGAAGTAAGGGTAGCCAAGATCCACAGCTGCCCAGGGGTATCGTTCTGCTCGAGGTGAGGGTGCTTGCAGACAGCTCAACCTGATGCTTGTTTTGTTTGGCCTTTGGCCACCAGTTTTTGGGGAGTTTGTGGGGCTGCAGAGCTTGGCTCGTGTCACTTGGTTACAGTCTATGGGATGGAAACCCTAGTGAGGAGCCAACATGTCTTTAATAAATAGAGGTAACTTCATAGGGTGTTTTCTTATGTGTCTAGCAGAACAGTGGGAATCTTTATTTATTTATTTATTAGGGAAAAAGCTTTAATAAGCTCTATTAGCTGATTTATTTGAGGACATTTCTTAAGATAGAAGGTGAAATGCAGTTGTCTGTCTTCCGAATTCTGTGTCATGATGCCGAAGTCAAACCGCCTGGGTGGCTGCACTGCCTACATCTTCAGAAACTGCCCGCAAGTCATTGAAACAATGCAGTGGAAACACTTTCTTTTTCCTTTTGCTTGGTTAGGATTTTGTTTTAAGCTTGTAATTTTAACGGGTTGAATCAGCACCTTGAATAAGCAGTGTCTTAGTAGCTGTGTTATGGGCTGCACATATGGAATTTCCACGAGTAGTTCTCCAAGATGTAAGTCTCACATGGATAAAATTCAACACCCTGTAATATAGGATGAAGCTGATAGGAATTTGCAATTATCGTTGTGACTTTCATTTAATCTTCAGCTGATGACTGTGCTGATGGATCTAGATTCCAACAGATTTTGCATGCGTCCTGCATTACAAAAGAAGGTCAGCTTTGTTACGTGACAGTGTCCTGTAAAGTGTGGTTTTACTCCAGTAAGTGACCTCAGATGACGGCTTTTAGATCTGAGCTGCTCAGCCTGAGCATTCCCAACTGCTTGCTTCAGAGAGGAAAAAGTGAGGTATTGACATTTTATTCCTTATTTCCTAAAAATGGACTTTGCATCAGATTGCTGGCCCTAATCCCAAATTGCCTACATTTACATTCAGCTCTGGTGCAGACAAGAAGATACCCAGCAGCTCAATCTGGCGTGCAGAATATAAAACTGGTCCACGTGCCAGGGGAAAAATCCACGGTTACGTATTAAGCTGTGGCCTCTCTCTACTTTTAATCTAACAGAAAGTGAAATGCTGTCAAAATGGACGATGGACGCTCAAGTCCCTGATCTCACTTTTCAAGGTACGCCACACTTTACAATGCTGTTTTCAATACTATGCATTTGCGAAGCCCGTAGGGTAGGCTGTGTGTTAACCTTCTCATTCCACTGCCCACTGCTAGTCAGTCTGTTAGCCAGCTCAAGGACGGCACTGCTTCTCCAGAAACAAACGTAGCTTTTTCTCCAGCAACAAGTGAAAAGAGAAGCTGGGGAAAGGAGTACAGTCACAGGATCTGAAGCACTGGTGTGTGCAGAACACATCCTGCTGGCATTCTGTTTTACTGCGGATGGCTCAAGCGCAGCTCTTGGAAATCTGCATACTGAAAACAACATATTAGAGTCTCATCCATTTTATATTGCATTTTTCTGAATGAAATCTTGTTCAAGAGAGTGTGTGCGATTTCACATCTACCCACAAACCTGGCATTTGAAAAGGCCACGCTCACTTAAATCAGAAAATTCGGTATTGCTGCACCTCTGAAATGGGAGATCCCAGCCCTGTCCCAGCACCAACAAACACGACACCATTTGTGCCTGTCTACTGAGCAGGGCTCGGGGGGCCGGGGCAGCGCAGGGCAGGACAGAGGCAGTTCTGGAGGAAACAGAACCCAGAGGCAGAGAAACAATAAGGAAACAATTGTGTCATCAGGTTTGATTTGACAAGAAACACTGAAATTAGGAAATTATCGATCCGAATTCTTGTTTTCTAAGGCACATTTAAGCAAAAAGTACATTGCTGCTTTAAATTCACTGTAATACGATGAGGCCGTTGTCACATTTTAAAAATTACCTGTTTGATTTTTCTGTTGAATTAATGTTTCCTTCCGCTCAAGTGAAATAAGTGTTTCATGTGAATGCAACCTTCTGCACTGTGGTCATCATTCTTACAGGAATGTAGAACTGTGAACCATCTGTACCCTTTTATTACTTTAACAAGGTCAAATAAACTGGTGTGACTTTTGTAAGCGTTCATAAGCTGCATTCTGTGTTTCAGCAAGTTTTGTGTTTCAGCATTCATCGAGGAATTTGGCGTAACTGCACCTCTTTAACAACAAACTGTATTTGCTGTATTGGGAAACTGGTGGTTCGACCACAGTGTTGATGTTTTTTCTTTAATTCTCTTAAGCCCCAGGTCCTCCTCCAGCTTCACTGTTTAGCAGCCCTACTCAAAGAAGGAAGCAAAGCATTCCCCCCCAGAAGCAACCAGTGGGGCATGCGCTGCTGCTCGGATGGAGCGGAGCAGTGCTATGAAGTGCTGCTCCTCCTCCTCCGCCGTGTTGAGGAGCTCCTCTGTCACTGAAAGGAAGCATGCTGCACATCTCTAGAATTAAACTTTTTATTTTTGCCATAGAAAGCTCTAAGAACTAATATCAAGTATTGATTAATGAAAAGTAGAACTTTAAAAAGTACGTTAAAGAAAGGCTGTACAAGTATATACATTCCAGACGTGGCAAAAGTTAGCAGTGTTTCACACGGAACAGTTCATAGGTAACAGCTGTCGACCTCAATGCTCTGTGTAGCTGTTCTGCATCTTCCTAAGCTGCATGCCTTAACGGGACAAAATAAATGAGCAGCCGTTTTTTTTAATCTCCGTTTTTATTTCATTCTTTTACTGGAATGCTCTGGTATGAATCTCCAAAGAAAGCACACGGTGCCGACGCAGCCCCCGCCAGGACATTCTGCAGCACATCCGCTCGGGTTGCTGGCTGTGTGAGAATGGCCGTCAGGTTTGCTACTGCACCTCTGAAATGGTCCAGTTCTACGCTAGTGGTTTCTCAGATTCCATCTTTTCCTTTCCTTCCCCCAAGGCCGATTTCCTAGGAGTCGCGTAACGCCTTTCATTAAGTCAGTCTGGAAGCTTAATGTTAAAAACAAACAAATACGAGGGTGCAATAGCCAGAAATTTAAATACAAGCGCTCGTGGCCCTGTAAAAAAAGTTTAAAAAGAAGGGATCTGATGTGTTTCCAAATCAATAAATAGTGAACTTAAAAAAACAACGCTTTATGTGACCTCTGGACTTCGGATTTCAAAAATCACTTCCAAGGAAAACTGAAGACCCTGAGACACATGCACGCACGAGTCTTCTAGCAGAAATACAGTTACAAAGCCCTAATTTTCCAGTTTTCCTCCAAAAAGAGACCTTTAGTAGGCACAGTTTAAAGTTTTTTAGTACATCAGCAGCAAATATTTGTAGCCACTATTTTTCAGTACAACTGAATGCACACTCTGCAGTGCGTGCTTCGCTCCACACGTGTCACATCCACAGCAAAACCATTGTGTGTGTCACGATGGAAAGTTCAAGACATTCCTATGTAGCATGCAGCCAGCTGCTCTGGGCAGTCGGTACTTAACTCTCGTGAGGCTGCTGAAATGCCATCTCAGACTACATCCAACACGTAGCATCTGAAGGCAAAACCCCTTACATTCAAAGGGGCTGCGACACGTCTGGAGAACAACCACACATGTAACATGTTTGGCCTATGAAACAGAAGTGCTGAGTATCACGTGTAAAAAGTAAAGATTCTCCTCTTCCTCCCACCTTTGCAGCACCCCTTCTTATGACTCAAGCTGTATTTGAACCATTTACCATTTAAATGCCATGCATGTCTAAAATGCATGTCTAAAACCTTAACACTGAAGAAGAGGATCAAGATGCTCACGTGAAACATGAAAATAAAAAGCTTTAAGCAACGAGAGCAATGATAACTAACTAGTATTATGCACAACAGCCTTCCTCAGTAACTGCCACAATTCCTGAACAGCTTTCATCTCGCCGTTTAGAAAAACGCAGTACGCCACCAAATCTGAAGTGCCAGGCTACGACTGCTGCTTTTCTCAGGCCTCCATCTCTTGCTCCTTTTGGATTTCTCCTAATTATTTTCTAACTGTCCAAGAACATAAGGAGAAAAAAAGGAGCAACAGAAGCAGCCTGTAAGTGCAAACAGGTGACAAGCAGGCGATTGCAGAGATGATACAGTGGAGAATGAGGGCAGGCATTTTCTGAACATCAGTTACATCATTATCATAAGATTACACCCCCCAAAAATGGGAGAATTAAACAACAGAATTCCCGTTCCACCTAAAGATCTAGCCAAAGACACACAGGAGATCCTCAGCAGCCTCAGCACTGATGCAGCACTCAGAGGATTTCTCCATTCTAAGTAAATTTCAAAGCCTTTGGGTATCATGGGGATGATCACTTTTTTTTATACCACACTGAAACCTTTCTAAATGGAGAGGGGAAAAAAAAAGTTTATGAGTGTTCTTGATTCCTCCACTACCGAGTAGTTTTTTCCCTGATAAAAAAAGAGTGAAACAGAATGGTCCAGTGACTGGCCCACCTACCATCCCGTAATCCAACACAATTAAAAGCATGTTCGAGTTAGACCAAATTGAGCATCTCTCCTCGGCAGGAATACCTGCGTGAGGACAGATGATTCGTATTGCTTCTAAAAGCACAGTTCAGATGCTAGTTAAAAATGCACTGCTCCAAACTACTGGATCAGTCATTTTGGACCCTTGTGGTAACACGCTATTCAGAAAAATAACACAATGGTTCGATATTGAAAACATTACCATAGAAAATCTTACTGTTTTCTTCATGAATCATGAAGCACAATTCAGCATTAAAGTGCTAAGATGAAAGAAAAGGTTTGTCTAAGTATAGGTACAGGAAATACCTTGAATTACTTTAGAAATCAGATTTCTCGCTCTTTAGGAGAAAGCTGCACCTTTTTCCAGCCACCTTTTTCCCCGTGTTCTGATCAAAATGAACATACTTGCAAACACTGCCAGCTCCTTGGAAATGTCTTAATCTGTGTTCAAGTAAACCTTCCAATGAATCGCTTCCACAAATGATTTGCAGCTACTAACGATCCATCTAAGCACTACCATTTGATGAGTTTGTCAAACAAGCTCTCGTTGTTCTCACTCTGAGCAATTTGTTTTTTAACAGACTGTTTATAAAAACTGCACTATGTACTCACTGAAGCCTTTTCCCAGCATGTAATGCACGTCAGTAAGATTCTGGTATTACAAACTCAAATTCAGTACTACCCTCTGATTGATTTTGCTTAAAAATTGCATCATTTCCCTGCGGAACAAAAATGTCATCCCAGCTCATTTGTTTGCCTGGAGCATTCGATGCCGTTCCCTCAGTGCCGTTCTTTGCTGCGTCAACGCGATACACGATCCTGTTCTCGTTTATTACCGGCAAGCTGCTCGAGCGATCGGAGATGTATGCGTACTGCCTGATCTGCAAAGACTTGCAAGGATTCAGTCGATACAGCTTGGTATCTCCCGAAGGGTCTTGGCTGTGAACCGACCTTATGTGAGAGGCCATGATCTGGTAGTTGATGAAAGACTTGCCGCACGTCAAGCACTGGTACCTCCGCTCACCAGTGTGGTGAATTTCATGCTTCGTACGGTACTCTGCAAGAGGGAAAACCTTATCACAGTATCGACACGGATACTTCTTCTCCCAGGAATGAACATTGAAATGTCTCCGTAAACTCGTCAGACACACGTACGACCTCTTACACACAATACAAATGTAGTAGACCCTTCCATCCACGATCAGCTCGTAATGGTCATCGTGCTTTACTTTCATGCGTTTCCTGCTTGAGGAATCGCCGTCAGACGTTCTAGGGGTTTCCTCAGGCTTGGCTTTTCCTTCCTCAGGATCATCCTTAATCGGAATGACTATGTCGTAAGTGTCCTCCCCAATATTTGCATATACCTTGCAGCCTGTGGACAAGCCTTCTATTTCAGTTGCTGTATCTAACGTTATGATTTTCTGCCCTTCTCCCGCATGTTTCGACGCTATACCTGGACCGAATTCCTTGTTGTTTCCAGTAAGGACATCTGAGATTTTTATTTTAAATTCTCCAGGTTTAGAAGATTGCTCTTGTGGAAACTTAACAACCTGTTTTTTCTGTACTCCAGATCCTTCAGAAGTCGCCGCTTTGGGTACAGAAGGTTGCTGAACCGAAGAGCTGTTGCTGGCTGAACTAGGACTAGAGGAGCTGATGACATCATCATTGTCCTCGACCACCTCTTCTATATCAACAGCAGCTGTTTCCACTTCCGTTGAGGGTCCTTTCTCAGAAGGCTTCTGGCTCTCCTCAACCAAATTAATCGTAGGGGGAACGTGCGTCTGATGCGAGGAGCTGACGCTGGCTGAGGGGTTAACTGGAGGCCGATTCAGCAAAATGAGCTCAGTTGTCGAATGCTGCGGTGTCACAGGGACAAGTGACTCAGCACTTGACAGTGCTTGGTTTGGATTCAGCTGATTAGCAGAGGAAGTAAGTTTTTGAGTTGACGTGGTGCTAGTCAAGAGCGAGGAGCCACCACCACTACCACACGATTTTTGGTCAGAAACTCCAGGCGCATTTGGGCAAGGCTGGTTCTGGATTGCAGCATTTGCGTCTTTAGTACATTCTTTAGGGGGAACAATCTCAGAGCAAAAGATGACATCATCATCATCATCTGAATCAGTCACTGTTATTTTTGGCGTCTCGTAGGCTATGCCATGTAGAGAGAACGATTCAGTTATAACTGGCATCCAACCCGTCACCTCTCGACCCTCCTGCCTGATGGCAGGTACTTGTGTTTCAGCATCCTTTTGAGTGGGGCCAGAAGATGAAGTTTCTGAAGCACCATCTTTGACCTCACCTGGCACGCTCCTTCCATCACATGGAGTTACGGACAGATCAGCTAGGAATTTAACACCCAACTGTTGTCCCGATTTAATCAATTCATCAATTAAGTCGGCTCGAACAGAGATTATTTTGGAACTATACATATAGTTAAGTATTTCCGCAAAAATCTCAGCTCTCACAAAGCTCAATTCAACTACTTGCCCGGCCACTGACAAAAGCTGATGGAAATACGTGCTTGAGGCAGAAAGAATGTTTCTGTGAGCTCGAAACTTCCGGTCCTCCACGATAACAGTAACATCACAGAAAAGC